TGCTGGGCTTAAGGTGTGCCGCCGCTGCTTGCCACTTTTGTGTGTCATTAGCAGAGCAGCTTATCCTAGGGTCTCTTCTAGATGTCACCCCTCCTCTCAGTGCCAGCCTAGTTTATTCTTGTACATTAAATAATGTTCAGAGGATGAAAAGTTAGGTTTTTACTTCCTCATCCTGACAGTGCTTTTATCAGCCCAAGTTTTCCTGGAAAAAAAAATGATGTATAGGTGATAGATATATCTGTACATATGTATAAATGTGTGTGGGGGGGAGAGAGAGGGGTTCTGTATAATAAGCTATATATTTCTGTAGTTATATGATTTATTATACATATGTTGCAGTTTACTGGAAGAAATGGACTGAGGCAGTTCAAGAGTCTGAGCGATCCTGGTTTTGCATCGGCGCATTGTTAGTGAGCCGATGGCTCCGTGTGCCTGTGCGCCATTCTCCCAGCCTAGAGACGGGCGGAGAGCAGAGTCTGCCTATTAGAAAAGCCAGTGTTTCTTCCTCTACTCAGATATCAGGATAAATGCAAAAAATGTGCCCTCGAAGTGTGATGGACGTTCTCCCAACCAGAAAACAAATGAGATTTGCATCGGATTCCAGGCAGGTGTTCTCTGAAGAGGTTGGAGACAGTGTCTAGTCTCATAGACTATTTTTGCCACTCTCAATTTCAAGTCCAGACTGCTTTTTTTTTTCCCACGCATGTCTGCTGGACCAGTTATAACCAGGGTCCCCACAGCCCACAGCCCCTTCGGAGGCTCAAGTAGTTTGAGTGGTTCATTTATAACGTTCACTGCATATAGGCTATTACAAGCAACACTGGTGAAGAGATGCAGAGGTTATGGTGTGGGAAGTGGGAGGTCAGAGTCCCCTGCCCTTTTTCGGTGAACCTCTCCCCAGGAACCTCAGCATTCTGCACTGTGGAACACTCTGGGCCCTGTCCCGTGGGGTTTTGTGAGAATTCATACATAGGCATGACAGGAGCACAGGCAGCTGTGTTGAAATGTGGTTGCACAAAAAGGAAATGAACTAGACCTGTACACTGAATGGGGAACCCACCCATTCGTCTTGGCTTCTTTCTGCAGCCCTCCTCGGGACTGAGGAGGGTCTTGAGACCTGTCAGACAAAGCTGCTCAGAAAGGTAAATTTGTAGCTAGCATCAACATAGACAAGAAGATTAGGTTTCTATCTCTTGGAAGGGGGAAGAGAAGTTGTTGTCTCGAATAACAGATAACTGGAAAGTTCTTACGTCCTTCCTGACTTGTGGGATGGAGTTTGGAGCCAGGAACTATGGATGGAAGCTCACTTGCTTGAGGAGATAGATAGCAGCACCTGTGTTGTCAGGGCTGAACTGGAGTCCCATTGAGGAAGGCACTTTGCTTCCCTCATTCTAGATTCAGATGCTAATCATGGCGGAAGGTCCTTCCAGGCACACCCTGAATGGTGCTTACTTTTGGGCAGCCTGTGGCCCTGTCAGGTTGGCACATGAAATTCACCATCACAAACAGGGTTCAAGTGTGGTCTGCGTCTATTGTTTTGTAGCTTGACATGTTTTTATGTAAGTCTCTTGAAAAGCCCCAGCTCCCCGAGGGCTGGAGAGACAGCTCAGGGGTTAAGAGTATTTGTTCTTACAGAGGAACTGGGTTCGCACCCACCCCTGCTACCACAGGCGGCTCATAGTCTACTGTAATTCCTGTTCTGGGGGATCAGACACCCTCTTCTGAACTCTGTGGACAATGCATTCACACAGTGCTCAGACCTATATGCAGAGCATCCATATGTATCATAGAAAAGTCAAATAGCAAAAGAGAAGCCCCAGCCCACTTAAATATTGGAAGCATCTGAATTTTGTTGGTTTGGTTAAAATTGCTATTTGGCCAGCACTGACTTGACTCTGGGTTAAAGTGAATGGTAGTTCTCTATTTTGTGAAATATAATTCACAGTATTTTCTTTTGGCTGGATTGATTTTATTTGTAGTATCATGCTACTGTATTTGTTTGTGTGCATACTTTCTTGCATCATTTTTGTCTTGAGGTGGTAGTAAGGTTTCCAACACTCAAACTGAAGTCAGTTTGACAAACTGTCAACTCTCTGGAGTGCCTAGTTTGCAGCAGAGGTCTGCAATTCCCAGAGCAATTTTCAAAAGCCAAATTGATTGGCGTGGTATTTGTCAACAAGTACATCAGTGTGTGGTGGGAGAGATGGAATGGGGTGGGGGTTGTTTTTGAGTATCTCTCTACTCTTCTCAGGACTATAGACAAGCCCCTCTCCCTCCCCTATAAGGCCACTGCAATACCTAGGGCCGTTAGAGACCTGGTAGAAAGATAGCTGGGAAAGACATCCCTTCCTGGTGATCGTTTTTATGGCCTGTCTTTGATATAGGGCAGTGTAGTAATTTAGGCTTTATTTCTCTGGGAGTGCCATTTGATCTGTGCTTTTATTACTGTTGGTCCTTATTTTAATGAATCCTACACAGGTCCTCCGTATTCACATAGCAGCCCAATTTTGAGTAACAAAGTTTTATTATTAAATCGGACAAAACTATGTGGTTGGGGTAAAGGAAATGTCTCATCCAGATAAGTGGGGTTGGCCTCTGGGAGTTCCTGCTTTGGGTTCTCTCTTCACTGTAGGCCAAGCACTGAGTACGCACTTAGGTCAGTGCTCCTTCTTCCAGGGGCCGGTGGGCCCTCCCTGCTTTGGCTTTCAGGTGACCTTGCCCCTCCCTTCATTTAGCGTCCTTATCTACCTAAAATGCTGTTTTTGTCTATCCTTATATTTTTGGAGCAATGGATTTCTTAACTATCCTGTCTTAAATATTTACATGTTTATTTATTCTAAGAATATTCTTAATTACTGACATTCTGGTTTTGGCACCTAGTTCTGGTTTCTGTTTCTACCTCTTCCTGAGTATGTAGATGAACATTCTGCGGGTTTCTTTTTTTTTTTTTTGCAGAGGTCTTTTTATTCCTTCAGTGTGTGTTCATTGCCTCTGGACCTGTCTCTCCTTGATTGCCTGAAGTCTGCATGAGCTGTTTCTTCCACTGCCTCTGATTGTTCTGAGTCTTCAAATGCTCTCCAAACAGCCAGGCTTAGTTTGGAATTAGCACATCATAAACACGCGCCATATTTTGCCCTTACATCTCTTCCAGTAATCCTGTTCTTCGGATTTACACTTTTGCATCATTAAAGATGCAAGAAGGTTAATTAAGGAAATTAATTAAAGATGTGTTAATGATTGTGACTCTTTGATGAGATTTTAATATAGACATTTTCCCAAATGCTAATTTCCGGAGATAGTTTAATGGAAAACAATTGTATTCACAAATGTAGTTGCTTATAGAGTGGCCTGTGATGAGTTCAGAAGCAGAGTGGCTGGGGAGAGCAAGCAGGCAGCCAGTGACTGTAATTATACAGGTGTGGTTTCCACCTGCAATGGAAGCTGAAATAGAACAGCAGGCATCTGGTACCCAGCTGCCTATCACATTTTCAAAGGCATTTTCCTAGGCCACACTCAGGTAGGAGTGAAATTATTCTGGCGTATGAAAGGAGAGGAAAGGCCATGTGTGTGTTATGAATGCAGAGTTCAGTTTCACTGCAAGTCAAAAGAGGATTTATACCTGTAGGAGTTCTCTTTTGAGAAGCCAAGCCCCACCCCTCCACCCATCATTTAGTGAAGTCTTGTAGATACTTCAGTATCTCTTCTTCTAGAATTCTGACTGGTGACTAAGGAGTTTAAATAGATAGCATTGACTTTGGCTATTATGTAGAAGGTGTTCACATAGATAACAAAGGAAGGAAAATACCAATAGTGAACAACTCAGTGTGGACTGAAGTTTTTGTTTTGGCCCCTCCCACACTCCCCAGATTAGATTTTGCAGAAGAAAGGGAGCCAGCAGAAGACATGAGGGGCTGGGAGTCATGCTGGGTCCCCATCTTCTCGATTTTTCCAATGAACAAGAAAACTGGATTTTCAGTGTCCTTTGGGGAAAGCCGTATGTGTGTGTTCGTGCTTGTGTGTGTGTGCTTGTATTCGGGGACCTGCGTGCCACAGTGTATGTGCAAGAGATCATTTATTCCTGATCAATAGGATCTATTACCTGAAACTTATTGAATTCTCTTCCTTTACACAGTTTTGACTGACCAGCTGTCTAGCTGAATGTGGGTGTGGCTTTGGTATAGAAATCTTATTTATAGTTCCATTTTGAGTTGTTTTGTAGGAAGGAAAAGCACACACACACACACACACACACACACACACACACGGATTTTTTTTCTAGCATTTGTTGCCAGTTGGTAAAATAATATTAAAGAATAGTTTCTTTGATGTATAACATTCTGGCAGTAATAATTGCTGGAGTACTTAAAATTATAATTCTTTTTTTTTTTGGTTTTTGGAGACAGGGTTTCTCTGTGGCTTTTGGAGACTTATTAAAATTATAATTCTAAGCCTCTAGATATTTTGCCTATGGGAATTGAAAAGCGCGTAAGGGATTTAGTATTAAATCCAGCATTTGCTGTGAGTGTGTATAGCAGTGATATCCGAGTCACGTCATGAAAAATGAAGTAGCATTCTGTGCTGGCAGGAACTGGCCTAGCTAACTACCATTTCTCAAATGGTTTTCTGTTACTTGGTGAAGGACTTACTGACGTGATGTGTTAACTAACCAGTGTTTGAAGCTGAATGTCGTGAGCTCCTAAGGGATGTGAATCACTGAGGGTAATAGCCAACCTTTGTAGGCAGGGGGCATGATGGGAGTAAAGGGCATAGCCAGTGACAGACACAAACAAGACAATTTCTTCTGACTTTTTTTTTAATGGCCCAGTGGAAGGAGTGACCAGAGATAAAGCGTTTTTTCATTAAACATTGCTATTCATAGAATACTTAGAAATGTCATGTTATTTGCCTAATTGGTTTCAGGCATGCATTCTAAAATAATCCATCTAAGGAAGAATATTCATTGTGTAATTCATGTTGTTTGCTTTTTCTTTTGATTTTAGGACCTTATTTGTGAGAAGTGCCATAGGCCGGAAAAGCAAAAATGAGAGTAGCAGGTAAGATATTTATTTAATCCAGTGAAACACTTTTTGATCTTATCATTTTACTTTATAACCTGTTTGCTCAATAACGACTAAAGGAGAGGGCTCATAATTCATTTATTCTTCTTCATTCTCCTCCTTCCAGCCCCCTTTTGAGGTGGGTCTTGCTTCCTGGCTTAAGCTGGTTCAAACTGTCTCCCTGCCTCAGAGATTATATGCAGGTGCCTCCATATAACTTTCTTCTGAAAGTTAAGTACCAGGCTGAAGTAAATTAAATCATGCTTAGCCTTTCTGTTTTATGTAGTCAACAAATCTCAACTTGTACATTTAGTAGGTATTACATAGGTTTTTGTAGTTGAACCCTTTACTGAAGTTATTCCAAATATTAATATTTATTTTTATGTGGTAAGCTTATTTGCCTAGTAACACATATAAAATACTCAAAGAATGATTTTGGAAATGCAAAAGAGACTGGCTTTTTCTTGCTAAATTCTAGCCATCAAGAGGAAAGGAATTCTAAAACAGAACTCTTCTCCTATGTGCAGCTAAGTGTAATTACATGAAGAATCTGCTAAAATGTGATTTTGCTGTGAATTATCAGTCTAGGTATAAATCCAGAAGATTGCCAGTAATCTGAAGTAGCGTGCTATATGCATTGGAAGTCCTTGCTAGATGTCCATAGTATTAATATAGCCATTGATAAGCATCTGGAAAGGGTATGAATGCCCAGTTGGCTTTTCTGCTATGCAGCCTCCAGCCCCAGCCTCCCCATCCCCAAAGGCAAGTTGCTCTGAGGAACTCTGCTAAATCTGTGACGGGGGAAAGAATACAGGTTGGTCCTCCAAAATCAAGATAATTAGTCTTAGTCTTGATTGTTGTTTTCTTATAAGCAAACCAAGTATTTTCAGTCTCTCAGAGATGCCAGAAGCCAAGGCAGGTGGACAAAAATCCCTCTTCCTAGTTTGCTTATAATTGTATAGAATCAAGCATATTTGATCAAACACCGTGATTACTAAAACCAAGTTAAGTGACAATTGCTACAAATGCTTTGTAGAAATTGAAAAATGGGACGCTTTGCTATGAAGTTACAAAGCGTCATTTCTAAGTAGTTGGACATTTGTGGAGGAAGACGTGTCCAGAAACCAAGAGCTTGCTTGTTTTAAAACATGTGGGACCCTTGTTTGCTTTGCTTCGCTTTTTCTTTCTGGATGGTCTTGGGTTCAGCAGAACCATTTATAATTGTGATCTCCTGAGGATTTTCAAACATGCGTGATGACCAGAGCAAGTTCTTGTTTTGCACATAATTCCAAATTCATTTTTAGTAAAATTAACTTCACATATAGCTTTTATGTTCGTCCTTTTCTTGGCATAGGTTGTGGGTCCCTGCCTTTAATAGACACATAAGGAAGATTAGTTATTAGTTCATGGTCTTGAGCGAATAAATGTCTTTTAAATTCTGGTCGCTTTGAAATGCTTCTATAGCCTGAAATGTAATGATCTTTAGTTTATAAATGTAGGGATGGACTCACAGTGCCATGAGTGGCTGAAAGGAAGAGGGAAGGGCACACCAAGTCAGGAATGGGAGTTTTGCCGTATGTTAAGCCCCTCCGAGGCTGGCATTGGACTTTGGGACCAACCCTAGAGACCATATTCTGCAGCAAGCTCCTAGACCCTCCCACTGTAGTGACTCTATCTCTGCTGCTAACTGTTCTGTCTCTGGGAGTGTCTGTTTCTTCCTTGTCCCAGACCAGTGTAACTGAGCAGATCCTGGTTTTAAACTCAGTGCTGGGGCTGGGGGAATGGGCCAGAGGGTAAGAGCACTTGGTAATGAAGGTTCTTGCCATTGAGGACCCAGGCTCAGTTCCCTGCATCCACACAGTGACTCGCAGCCATCTGTAACTAATTCAGGGAATCTGACATCCTCTTCTGATGTCCATGAGCACCGGGCATACACATTCGCATGCATGCGCTCAGGCAAAACCGCTGATAACGTAGATTACATCAAGTGTTAAGAAAGAAAGGCCCCATGCTACTGCTGATGCAGCGCTATGCAACGTCAGCCTCATACAAAGCAAGTTTCATTCATCTGTTGTCTGTTTTAGAAGACAGTGAGAGATTATCCCCTATTTACACATGCCCATGACTGCTGGAAAATAAACTAGAAGACTAGCATGCGATCTGTCACCTTCAAGCCACTGGTCTCAGTCTTCCATGATGAAAACAGTGTGTACTCCTGCTGTCATTCATTTCTCGAGCATATTACATGGTGAGAGCATGTGCTTTGCACGAGACACTCAGCTAGATCCTGGGGGGAGTATCTCCAAACCAAATGAGGTTTGCTCTCATATGCTAAAGATGCAGGTAGCCAGTAGTGGCTCTAAAGAGCAGAAAGCAGCCTTTGGAGGGAAGAAGTGAGGAGATGGAGGTGAGAAGGATTAGTTGGACGCACTCATTACCACTTCATTCCTGTGTTAATCGAACTGGGTAAAACTCTGTTTTTTAGAGCAGTTTTAGATTCCCAGACGAATTGGAAGGAAGGTACTGAGATGTTTCTTGTATCTCTTCACGTTTAGCTATGGATAGAGGATCTGGAAATGGTGCCGAGGAGGCTCTGGGTGTGACTGCCTTTCAGCTTCATTGGCCTTTCCAGACATCTTCAGTTTCCTCTGGACCTCCCCTCTGAGGATGTAGACTGTTCTTGTGGGTCTATGAGATTAGATGATCTTTATATATATATTCTTCCTTACCTACTGTATTGAATTTGGTGTCATCCCCTTCCTCCCCTGAAGAATATGTCATTTAGTGTTAGGATGATATATTTACTATATAGGCCACTAGGTTTTTCAGGGAGGCTTGAGTTCTGTCTGGTTCATGTGTAGCCACTGGTTTGTATGTAATCTTAGAGCATGACTTCATCTCTGGGATTTTTTTTCTCTTTAAGGTTAGATGGCTGCTGATTGTGTCTTCCCCTTTCATAACTGTTAGTAGGAGCAGGCAGTTGAGGTTGTGTAGACATGAATAAGCTCGTACTATTGTCAAATAAACGTGCCATGTCTGAAATCCAGAGGCTGAGAGGAAAACTGTTGCTCTGGTGTTGTTCATCCCCTTTCTTACCTTGTCCTTTGTGATTTCCTTAGAGTAAGAGGTGACTCATACTAAGCAGACATGGCAGTGATCACTTATTGTAAGTGACACTATAAAGATACAAAGTCTAAAGTTGAGGAATGTCGTCTTGGAGCTGTAATATCCAAGCCTGTCTCCATGGGCAAAGTCCTGTCTTAAATAGGTATTAAGCTTCTATGGACAAAGTCCTGTCTTAAATAGGTATTAAGCTTCTATGGACAAAGTCCTGTCTTAAATAGGTATTAAGCTAGAGGTAATGTTTGCAGTTGCCCATGGGATTAGATAGCTCCTGGTTGGTGATAGGATAGTAAGCTTGCTATATTCCATTTCAGCTGATTTCCAGGAGGTCCTGGCCTTGACATCTCCAGGTCTAGTGTTTGGTATCATCACCTGAGGGCACTGCTCTTTAAGACTGGAAAGGATTAGGGGCATGTAGTCCTGCTGGCATGACGGTGGAGTTCCACTCAGCAGGACACCTGTAGTCAGCCAGCAGCTGATGGTTGGTAAACCACCCCACCTTGTCTTGTGTCTGAGAGTTCTGTGATTGTGGGTATCATGTAGTCATTGTAACTCTAGTTACATTAAGATCTAGTAGATTACAAAATAGGACTGTTTTCGTCTTAATGCTTTTGTATTTTTGCAGCAGAAACTCATTAGCTTCTAAAACCATGCTGAGTTACTTCTGCCTTTTTTTCTAGGAGCTGCAAAGTTGGTGGTGGCTGTCGCAGTATTTTTATTGACATTTTATGTTATTTCTCAAGTATTTGAAATTAAAATGGATGCGAGCTTAGGAAATCTATTTGGTAAGTCCCCCTCCCTTTTAATTACACTTTTATCTCCTTCCCACTATTGCTCCCATTGATTCCACACTCGTGTCTATTTGTTTATTTGTTTGTTTATTATTTTGCAGCCTATTCATTGTAGACTTGCTCACATGAGCATGGGTTTAAGGTTGTTTACTGGAGCATGGGCACGTTGCCCGTGACTACACCACTGAAGAACATGGCTCTCTCTCTTACTGTAGCTGTTAAATTCTAGTGACTGCCCAGGGAGGAGAAGTAGCTCCCAGTCTCCTTCCCATCCATGAAGGAATGCGCGCAAGACAAGCACAGTCTTGTGCATATAATCACAACCGATGGGATATCTTGAGGACTCCAGCCATGTTATGTCCTCTTCCATGATTTTCTCTGAGCTTTAGAGAGGGTGGTACACATATCCTGTATAGGACTGAGTCACCTGTTCCTATCTCACTTTGACTAGTGAGGAATTTCTTGGGTTAGCTGCTGTCTACTGTAGAAGAACTTTATTCTTTTTACGCAAATTATGTTTTATAATCTTATGTATACGAATCTTTTGCCTGCATGTATGTCTCTGCACTTTGTACATGCCTGGTGCCCTCAGAGACCAGAAGAGGGCATCGTATCCCCCATTGAACTTGAGTCATGGACAGTTGTGAGCTTCTGTGTGTGCTGAGACTAGAACCTGAATAATCTGGAAAAGGCAGCCAGTGCTCTTTACCGCCAAGCTGTCTCCCCAGCCCCAGAATCATATTCTTAATAGGACTGTCCAAAGTATAAGTTCTCAGCATGGGTTCACTGCTGCTTTGTCTGTCTAGAAAAAGAAGTATCATGTGAATTAATGTCGTTCATTACAGTATTATAAAGAACAAAACATGTCTAAGAATAAAGCCAGTATGAGGTAGTCAATTCTGTTTGACATTTTAAGCATATTTAAATGACCACTTGCTACACGGTGGTGAGAAGCATTAATCAAGGCTCTAAAGCACTCATACTGGTTGCTTAAATCGTTTCTTCATTTGAGTTGGCTGCTAGAAAATGAACCCCGATCTAGCTTGTAAAGAGTCAGAGAAATGGATTGTCCATGTTGGTCCTTAACATTCTTGGTTCTTTTCTCCATGATTTTCATTTTTGCCCATTATTTGGTGGTTTTATGTTGTCACTGTACCAATATGAGGTACCTAAACTCAGAATACATTTTTCAATGCTAGCAACCCATCCCAGTACCCTGTACATGCTAGGCGAGTGTCCTACCATTGTGCTGCATCCTTAACTCCGTTTGAAACAAAGCCCTTAAGTCAATAAAATGGAGCCAGTTATATTTAATGCTTATTTAGGTAGTTCTACATCTTACTGATCTTCAGATGGTTCTATTCTAGAAGTGTACAATGGTTTTCAGAGCTCATGGTGCAGCCTTGGTCATCCTCCAACTTGTGATCCTCCTGCCTCACCCTGCTCTCCAAGTGCAAGGGTTACAGGTGTGCACCATCACAATGCTCACCCTACAATTTCTCTCTCTTTTGAGGCACTGGTAGTCAAACCCTAGCTTCGTGATGCTAGGCAAGTGCTTATACCACTGACCTACATCCGTGACTTTAAGTATGTTAATATGAGGGTGAAGAGGAGAACTTAAGGTTCATATACTCAACTGGGAATGATTATATTTATCTCACACTATATAAAATTAAATACCAGATCTCCTCTGGAGAAAATCAGCTACTGTTATTGGAAGCTGGAAAAGGTGTTTGTTTTTCCTGGTCCCTCGTGCTCATATAGGTTGAGATTTGGCTTCAGACTAAACATGAAAAGAGACTGAATCCTGGAAACAGCTTCTTGTTCTAGTTGGCAGAATTAGACAAAAGTATGTTGAGGTCTTTGAATTAGTGAGTTAATACTCAAAAGGGACTTTAATACTTGGTTCATTTCCATAGACCTGAACCCGAGATTCTCCTACACACCAGTAAAACTATGTGGTCAAAATACTCTTCAGAGAATCTTAATGCCTCACTATCTGGGATGTGGCATAAGATTCTGCCTTTTCAGTCAGTCGAGGACTTTAACTAGAACACGTGACTCCTAATTTCCAATCTGGTGTTCTATGTTGCTAGGGGCCTTTTTTTTTTTTTTTTTTCTGCTAGGTGCCTTCTTATTGCATGTATTTTACCCAGTTTGGTTTAGACACTGTTTAGGGCAGGTGTTTGTTTTCATCTTGTAACTGCAGAGCATTTTATCTATAAAATGTTTTTGGATTCCAGTCTAGATTGAACTGGTGAAAATATTAATTGTGGGATTTGGTTTATTTTTTGTTTGTAATATGTTAATTCTCTTAACCATTTATTTAGCACCCAACTTCGAATTGAATCCATAGAGGATAGTTTCAGGGATCTGGTCTTTAGTTCCTGTATGGTTAACTACAATTCATTCAGTAGTGAGTCTTTCAACTTTCTTTTGTAATAACGTAATTGTTTGAATAGATCCTTTTCCTCGTTTGTTGAAAATAGATTCTTCTCTCATACAATATATCCCGATTAGTTTCCCCATCCTCTACTCCGTGTTCCTCCCCATCTCCCCTCCCATCCAGATCCACCCTTTTCTGTCTCATTAGAAAAAAACAGGCTTCTAAGAGATAACAGTCAAACATGATAAAAGAAAAGTTAATAAGATAAAACAGAGTCCATCATATCAAAGTTGGACCATGCAAACCAAGAAAAGGGAACACAACCCAAAAGGAGACATGATAATCAGAGACCCACTCTTGGACAGATTGTTGTGACTCAGGCTGTTGTGTTTGTTTTTTCGAGACAGAGTTTCTCTGTATATCACTGGATGTCCTGGAATTCACTCTATAGATCAGACTGGCCTCAAACTCAGAGATCTGCCTGCCCCTGCCTTCTGAATGTTGGGATAACCTGGCTCATTGACTCAGGCTTTTTATATCATATTGTCTTAGAAAAATAAAACAGACAAGAAGAATGAAAAATTTGACCACAGTAATTAAAATTGCTAAGATAAGTTGTGATTTAATAAGGGAAAATTTAAAAGATAGCAAGCAAAGAACAACAACAACAACAACTAAAAAAATTTAAACCCCTAAACTTTATTTTGGCATGGGGAGGTAGCCCATGCTAGATGCTTGCTTAATACACCTAGATTTCCTCACTCAACACACAAGGGCATTTTTTTTTTTTTTTTTTTTTTTTTTGGTTTTTCCGAGACAGGGTTTCTCTGTATTGTTTTGGAGGCTGTCCTGGAACTTGCTGTGTAGACCAGGCTGGCCTCGAACTCAGAGAGGTCTGCCTGCTTCTGCCTCCGGAGTGCTGGGATTAAAGGCGTGCACCACCAACGCCCAGCTGCATTTTTTTTTAACAAGACTTAATCTTGAAGGTATTATAGAGTCACACTCTGTAAGAAGTAATCTTCAGAGACCCTGCATACCCTTGCCTTATTTCCACCCATTACTAACATCTTGGGAACTGTACACTGTCACGGGCAGGGCAGGATGTAGACTTGCACACAGTCTGCCAGTTGTGTTCCTGGCTGTGGTTTAATGCAGTATTAGTTTCCAGCACGGACATTCAGCTAGAACAGAACCGAACACAGTTCAGATTATCTCTGCAGATATTGCAGCAGAGAGTGTTGTGTGGGCTTGGCTATTTTACCCTTGGATATTTAAGCCACTGGTAAGATATTCATAAATGACTTGAGATAGCATTAAAAGCTCAGGTATAAAGTAGTTCTAGTCTGACTTAACTGAAGGACATTCAGTGGAGTCCGAAGAAGCAGACAGGGTTGTGTCCATTCCTTGATGTGTTATCCGAAAGGTATTAAAGATTAGGGTTATCAAATAGAGTCAGAAGTAAAGCCTGCCTTGAGGAGAGAGCATGCTGTGTTTCTAGTTTGTGCTTGTGCCGGATACTTTGGCAATACCGGATATTGATGAAGAATAGCTTGCCTCCACACTAAGCATTCCAGGCTAGGGGACATCTTTCCATTTTAATGGGTATTGGGTAAAAGTAACCTTCCTTTGTAAGAAGTGCTTCTCTAGAGCGTCTTTACCACCAGGCGTCTCATTCGTGAACACAATGTACGTCCGTGGAGGTGTATTTACCGGAAAGCCTGATGACTAACAAACTCATTTCTATGAAATTGTTTTTAGTTAAATAGCAATTCATTACAGGTTTGACATCTGAAATTTAACAAACGAGCTGATTTGATCTCTAAAATTCTCTTTTAGATATTAGTTTTTACTATTTTGCATGTGTGAGTGTTTTGCCTGCAGGTACTTCTGCACAGCACAGAGGTGGTGAGCCTCCCTGTGGGTGCTGGGGTTGAACCCAGGTCCTTTGCAACAGTAACAAGTGCTCTTAACTGCAGAGTCCACTCTCCAGGCCCGATCCAAGTGTTTTATAGATCCGAGTGTTTTATAGAGCCACTCGGCCTTTGCTTCTCCTGTGCATTGCTCCAGGCTGCTTCTGTTTTGTTCAGAACTTGAATGTCGATGTCCTAGGATTCTGCCCTCCCTGGATGCTCTCATTAGTCCGTTCATATTCCAGTTCCTGTCTATCTAACACCCAGGTCTTGTTTCTAGCTGACCTCCAAATTGTTCCTCTTAGATCTTCACCAAGTATCTTAAAACATGGTGGGTAGAACCCATCAATAGTGTACACACACACACACACACACACACACACACACACACACACACACACACACGCACACGCACACGCACACGCACACGCACACGCACACACGTACAGCACGCCCCTTACTACCTAATTATAAAAGTCTTGAGTACAGAGAAAGTGTTTTGATCACCCGTGGAGGAATATAGGTACTTGTAAACCAACCTGATTCCTTCCTTTGCATCCCCCCTTGCAATCAGTCCATTTCTGAGCCTAAGCCCTGGCTGTGTTGTTTCCTTAGAAGCTCTGAATCTGTTTACTTTTTTAAAAAATCCAGTGAGCACCTCTCATAATTCTTCCCCCAGGACTGACTTTCTTTTTGTAAATTGAGATTATGTCAGCAGGGTCTTTGTAGGTAGACTCAAACCCGAGCCTCTGGTCAGAGATACTCTAAAAGGTCCCTAAGCTGACTTTCTGCTCTGGGACTGACGGCTGGCTGCTTTTTGCTTATATAGCTGCTCTTTAGAAGTGGTACAGTGGGCCTGGGTGCTGCATGAGATGATTCTAAAAGCCAGTTCTGGGCTGACAAGGTAAATATGCCCACCGTCAAGCCTGGCTGCTTTAATTCAGTCCCTAGGATCCTCACGGTGGGAGGACAGAACTGCTTCCGGTAAATTGTCCCTGGGCCTTAGTGTCGCCACACATATGCATGAATGTAAATAAACGCTGTGAAATATTAAAACTAAACCAAAACATAAAAGGTACCTCCACCATTTACAACTATGACCCAAAACAAACACACCAGTTAGGCTGTGTGTCCTCGCTCTCCTTATCTCTGAAGCGGGATGACCATGTCTCAGTGGCCAGCCAGACATACTTGATCCAGCTAGCACATAGGAGTGAGTGGTGGGTGGTGTTCTGCCCCTGTTCAGATCCCACTGTCTCCCCATCTCATTACCATAGGTTAGATAACCCGCCTGCTAGTCAGCCTAGCACAGGTCAAGGAGACCAAACTTTCTGATTTTAGTGGTGTGCCTTTCTAGGAATTTTAACACCCGGAGTCTGATGATACACTCTTTTCCTTTTCTTCAATTAATTTATTTATTAATTGACTTAGGTTTTTTTTTTTGTCTATTTGTTTTTGTTTTTGTATTGAAGACAGGGCTTCTCTGTACAGTCCTGCCTGTCCTGAAACTCTCTCTGTAGACCAGGCTGGCCTGGAACACAGAGATCTGCCTGCCTCTGTCTTCTGAGTGCTGGGATTAAAGTGTGTGCCACCACTGCCTGGCTACTTTTATTTTTCTTAGTTGAGTGTGTGTGTGGGTGTGGGTGTGGGTGTGTGGGTGTGTGTGTGATGTATTTGTAGATGAGTGTAGGTATACATGTGGCTACTTTTATTTTTCTTAGTTGAGTGTGTGTGTGTGTGTGTGTGTGTGGTGTGTATTTGTAGATGAGTGTAGGTATACATGTGCTGTGGTGTATGAATGGAGGTCAGAGAACAACCTGTGAGAGTCAATTCTCTCCTTATACCATGTGGATCCGGAGGAATCCTCCAGCATGATGTCAAGTCCCCTGTCCAGTTTGTTTGCTTTTTAAAGACAGACTGAAGTTGAGAATTTCGAGTCTTCATGTTGCTGATTCTGCTCTGGGGTTTAGTTTTCCCATAAAAAAAAAAAAGTGAATGTATGGGATCAAATCTCTAATTATGTAAGGAAATGGAAAAAATGACCAAGGAAAACAAGGCGCCTGGATCGATGACCTCCCCCTGTCTCCCCCTCTTCTGTTTTGTTATTCGCTTGTTCAGGCCTCTCTTTGCATGGGAATCATCTCTGTATTTAGGTTCTAGAGAAGGGGCAGGCTGTTTTGCTATACTCCATGCTTTATTCCTTCCCTGCATCATAGATGTGTGACTTCAACAGTGCCCAAAGTGCTCTTTCGAATGCCGGAGCTGCTGGCTTGGTCTCTTCTCTCTTAACATCTAGATACTCTCTGCTTCAACTTTCTGTTCCATAATTTGAATAGTGGACTTACAGGAAAGTCACAGTTATCAAAAACAGTAGAGAAGTAAAAACTAAGTGACTATTTATAGTTAAGACAGCTGGCCAACATCTATCACACTGTGTGCTTATCAACCAAATCAGAAACCAGCTGTCTGTGGCACTTTGATGGTCTGTGTTAAAATCCCTTGGACTGGGATCAGACGCTGTGCACTTCCAGAGCACTAAGTGTGACTGTAATGGGGGACAGGGGAGACCCACTGTGGGTGTTAGGAGTTGGCCTTCTCCTTTCTCCCTTCCTGGAACTGATGAAATAAGGAACGCCCGGTAACAGCTTTGAGTTCACTAGGCCTTTCCTACTCTACACCTGTTCTGGAGAAATTCAGGTTTCCCCAGCGTTCACCCTTCCCCCTTCTCATGCTCTCAGATTTTCACCAAACCCCAAGATAGATTTATTCTCCAGGACTATGGGTGCCCAGCCCAGCCCAGCAGCAGCAGCATTTAAATACAGTATTGTTCACCAACACAGCTAGTAGCCTTTTAAAGGTATGTTTTCAGACTAATATTCTGAGTAGGATTTAAATTTATAGCAAATAATTAAACAAAATATAAAGTGTAAAACGAACCAGGGGGTGATGGCGCACACCGTTTTTAATGCCAGCACTTGGGAAGCAGAGACAGGTGTGCTCTCTGTAAGTTCAAGGCCAGCCTGGTGTACAGCACAAGTTCCAGGACAGTCAGGGCTACACAGAGAAACCTGTCTCATCCCCCTCCCCACAAAAAATAAAAACCCAAATAAATAAAGTTTAAATAATTTTTCAGTAATAAAACACTACTGTCTATGATTTCAGCACACGCTCGTCCATAATGAATTAGGAAAAGGGTACTGCTTCACTGATGCAGATTTTGGTATTTACTGTATATGAGCAGTAACCTGAACATGTAGAACATGTATTCCCATGGCTTATTAGAAGTTTCTGTGTTCTCTAATGATGTTAACTGTTTCTCTTCTTAGCTCGATCTGCACTGGACTCAGCCGCTCGCTGTAAGTCCCTCAACTTGTTCTCTAAGTGCTGAATCCTGTGTGGGGCACTGTGAGAGCCTGTGTTCAAGCAATATGGGCAATGTGTGTGAACAAACACTGAAGGAGAAGTTGAGGGTTTAAAACTATGCAGCTGTCATTTAACTGGACAGCCTGGTATCATGGGTTCTTCATGGCCAATGGGTGTTTGCCCTATGCCGGGGTCCCAGCCTTGGGATGTGAGCACAGCCAGTGACAGCGAACAGGAGAGTCAGCTACAGCTTGTGCCTGGATGGACGGGAGGACCAAGCTTTTACTGATCCTGGTTTCGATGCATTAGACATGCACACGAGCAATTAAAAAGCCCCAGGCACCCAGAAACCTAAAGATAACTTCAAGAATGATTAAATAACGTCTGCCTTGCTCAGCAAGATCAATGGCGTGATCCATTTCTCTCAGTAGCTGGATCACGCCCCAGGAAGGTCTGAGTTGTGTTCTTGTGCCTTTTTATTTTGGGGATGGGGGCTTGCCTGCCTTTCTTCCCTGCTTCCTTTTTTGATACCCTTAGGAGAAAAAGTTGGAGCAGACTAAAATTTTGTATTTATTTTTAAATATGTGTATCTCTTTAAATTATTTTTTTATGTATGTATGGTGTTTTGCCTGCATGTATGTATGTGCACCACATGTATTGTGCTCCATGATTCTAGAAGAGGAGCCTTGGAACTACAGTGACATGAGCCACCATGTTGGTGCTGGGAATCGAACCTGGATCCTCTGGAAAAGCAGCCAGTGCTCTTCATCACTGATTTGTCCCTCTAGCTCCTAACTAAGTGTACCTTAATAGTGTGTGTGTGTGTGTGTGTGTGTGTGTGTTGTTTGAAATCTAAAACAAACTAATTATGAAACCCTAATCATTTTCTAAAGAATCTCAAGCCTGTTTCTATTCTCCCGAAGCTACGAAGCCTCCCAGGTACAAATGTGGGATCTCTAAAGCATGCCCTGAGAAGCATTTTGCTTTTAAAATGGCCAGTGGAGCAGCCAATGTTGTGGGGCCCAAGATCTGCCTGGAAGACAATGTGTGAGTATTGAGTGACAGCTGGGGGACTTGGGGTGCTGGGGTTCTGTTATTGTTTGATTTCCCCCCTCCCCCCCCTGCATTAAAAGAGTGACCAGGAGACCTGATTTTTACTTGGCTTTGTGTAAGGATACATGTGGCTGTTTCATTTTGATTCTTTAAATACTAAGAAAGAATGAACTCATTTAAATTCATTAAAAATAAAAAAAAAATTCTGTACACATGGTTGGCAGCTTCCAGGTGCTCACAGGTTCCTGCTCTGAAACTGCAAACCCTGCTGTCAGTTGTTTTTCACCTGATGGCTCAGAAAACTAGGCACATGAGCTCATTTAAAATTCACATAGAATAGTGGACATGGCATTCAGCTATGTGAACTAAAGACTATGACATTCTGCTGTGCAGACTGAAGACTAAGATGGTGTAGAGTTAAACAGCAGAAACTGGGTCGTTGCTCCCAGCTTTTGTGCATGAGTCGCAGACAGAGCTCTTACGTTAAATTTTCAGTGATCTGTGAGAGGATTGGCCTCATGGGCGGTGCTGTACTCTGAATTTGTGCCTGTTTAGCTCTGTTCATTGCTGCTCTTTTCTCCCGCGATAATGGGTGACCACTGCCAAATTAGTTACCTTCTGACCTTTCAGAACCCAGAACTGTTTATTGACATAGCAAAGCACGTGGGGTTTGGAAGCTTCTCGGTCTTTAGGGACAGTCCCCTTTGTTTACACCTTCGCTTTGCTAAAGAGTCCAAGTTTGAGTCTAAATAATAGGATGAGCGTTCTTTTGGAATACCTCGCTCACAGATAATCTTCTGACGCCTACTCCATCTTTGAAGCATGGAGTTTAGTGCAAAGAAGGGATCAAACTCCTTTCGAACACTGGTTTTCTAACCTCAGTTACAGAGGTCAGAAGGTAAATGCTTCTTGGGAGTGGGGCTCAATGTGACTGTGCCGGGCTGGGAGCCAGACTCTCTGGTTCTAGCATGGTGGTCATGTCATATAGGATTTGTACTGTGCGGTGGTTTGTTTGACCAAAAATTGAGGCTGCCCACCAATCAGTTGCCTTTCAAAAATCATTCTGCCATTCCCGTGAGAGATTAATAGTTGATGAAATTTTATAGCTAAGCCTCAGGTGATCTGTAGAAGGGCTTCATAACTGGTCAGGGCTCTCCAGTGGGATCAAGTTCAGAGCCTTTTCCTTTGCGTTTATTTCCGTACTGTAAACATACGAAGTTTTAAAACAGTGCTAACATAAAGCATAAAGAGTCTGCTTGCATAGGCATCACTCATTCATCTGTTCAAGCGTTTATTGGATCTGGTTTCCCTATTATGGAGTGTGCAGTCTAGCAGGGCTGGCAGATACCTAAGAAGTAAATGCAAGCTAGTGACTGTCAATCCGGACACCATCTGTGCAGACCCTGGGCATGAATGATGCTTACTAGTGGGAGCGAGTGAGGTAGAGTCCAACTTGATTGTAAGGGGAAAGAGTCCAACTTTAGATTGAGTGTTGAGGATTGATTCTAAGACACCGAGTGTGTCTGTCTGAGAATCTGGGGACCAGGAGACAACCAGAGTCAGAACAGAAATGTCTGAACAGCCCAGGTAGAAAGTACATGCTCAGGCTGTATGGGAGGGAAGTTCTAGAAGTGAGTGGACCAGACCATACAAGAACTTCTGAGCAATGCAGATAAAGGATTGAGGTCATTTTCTAAGTGTGCTGAGATGGTTTTCAGACCTACTGTGTTATGATCTTGTTTTATTTAAAAATTAATTTCACAGCTATATAAAATGACTCGAGTAGTGGGAAAGCCATGGTTAGTTATTCCAGCTGCTTGACATGGTGTCTCTACTCATGACAATTTTTTTGTTCTGTCTACTCTACAAAATGAGTAAGCACAAAATAAAATATGTGCACCTGATCTGAGTACAGGAACTCATTGTGGAGATAAACGGCTACTCTAGATTGCTATGTCTGGGCAGGGCTAATTTTGCTCCCTATGGGTATATTTGTTATTTGTCATAGCTGTGGAGAGCCAGAGCTGCTGGACATCTTCAGTGCCCAGGCAAGCTCCCTCCACTGTGTTTAATGTAGCCAGAGCTAGTGGCATGTGTGTGGAGCAAAAGCTGTATTTGAAGATGTATAGTGTTTATGCCATTTCCTTTAGGGTTTTGTTTTGTTTTTTCCTGAAGGTGTGTGGTTAGCCAGGGGCTTTCACAGTCATAAACATGAAGTAAATATTTTAATTGCTGTGACTACTCTTAATGTGTTTGGTGTCTTTGGTGGTTTTTCATTGACGGCAAGTTTCCCTGGTTTAATCCATTTAAAACTTGATAGGTTGCTGCCCTCTGGTGGGAAGCCTGTGGCACTGTGCTTTTTGCTGCCTTGTTTGTTATGTGATGGACTTAAGTTTACTGGACTAGATTAGCATGTTCCATGATGGTCTCTACTTGGAAAATCACCGGAGTTGGATTATTCACCAACACATTAGTTGTAACCATCCCTTTTGGGAACCAGTGATGGAATTTACATGTCTAATGTGCTTCCCGAGGGTCTGGAGAGTCCTCCTCTGGTGCAGTCCAGCCAATTGTCCTGTGGTGATGCTTATGTCTGTCTTATGTGTATGCTCAAGACAAATTCTTTTGTTTAGACAGCTTGGAAGTGTGGTTTATACACCCACACTTCCCACGTTTGCAGAGTGCAGTCACTGGTTTGTAATACGATTCATGGTTGTGTACAAACTCTCATAGTTAATTTAGGCCTTTTCTTGCCTTCTTTCTCTTTCATCCTTTTTTGACTGTCCTTAGCCTTTCTCTAGAATCCTGGGATCCCAGTCCCAGCATAGAACATTGTCACACTACCAGCCAGAAGAAGCCATGTTCTTTAACTCTGGCCCTTGTTCATTCTCATTCTACTCCACACCCAAGTCCGGAATAACCTTGTTTGCTTCTGTCCCTGTAGATTGGCTTGTGATGTTCCATATAGATGTATTATCTGTGGTCTTTAGTAACCGACTGCTTCACTCGGTATAATGTTTTCAAGCTTCATCTACCTTGTAGCTCGTGTTAGTTAATTCCTTTCACGGCTGAATGATTTTTCCATTATAGATAATGCCTCATTTGCCTTGCCCTTTATCAGTTCCCAGATGTATGAATCATTTCCATTCTCTGACTATCAAGAACAGTGTTTCTGAAACATTACTACACAGGTTTCATGTGGATGTGTTTCCACTCTCCGTGCTTGTACTATAGTGGACTTTTCTTTCAGATAGCTGTGTGGCTTTTGGAGGAACTGCCCACTTGTTTTCCAACGGGAGATCATTGGTTGACCCTCATACCAATGGTGTGAAGTCCGTGTCCTCCGTATTCCTGTGCGTCTAGTAGGAGTAAAGTTGTAGCTCATTAAGTTCATGATTTGTGCCTCTTTAATTGTTAATAATGTCTTGCATTTTAAAAATTAACCATAGAGAAATATCCACCCCAGCCTCCCTTTGTTTTTAAAATTGATTGATGATTATTGCTATTTCCTCTTTGGGTTGTTTGCATAAAGGCTTTCTTATCCCTTTCCTTTCTATTACCTATGTCCTTATGTTTCAGATGAATTTATTGTCCCATGGTTCCCACTCTGTCTTTATGCTGTGCGTTTGAGCTACTTATATTCAATATACATGTTTATAGGTGAGGCATTAAGTCTATCATTTTAGCATTTTATTCTGTTTTTGGATTGCTTTACTTTTAGTTTTTTTGTTTATATGTTTGTTTGCTTTTTTATGTTTTTTGAGACAATGTTTCTTTGTGTTGTCTTGGCTTTCCTAGAATTAGCTCTGTAGGGCAATGAGATATATGATCAAAATACATTCTAAACACATGCAAAAATGTAATAACAAAATTCACTAGTACTTACGGTAATAAAAACACTTTAAGAAGTTTCTTTTGATTTACTGTTTTTGAGTGCATCCCTTTGTAGAGACTTTTTAGTGATTACTGTCTGTTTCTTAATAGGAAGGTTTGAAACTAAGATCTACACTCAAGGAAAAGAGGGGAAAGTGTTATTTATGTAGATGAGACTAGGCTCCATGCCATGACATGGTTTGACTTGTAGTTATTATTCTGTAAGCAACAGAATGAGGAAGTAACTGGCCAGCACTGAAAATTTATTTGACTTAGTAAAGACATTCTCATCACCACATAAATGAAGCTTCAGCATTATTTTAGTTTTTCCTTTGTCTTACCATTTACATAAATGAGTATGTCACTCAGTAATTGTTAGAATTACATTCCCTGCAACCATAGCTCAGTTACAGATACGAGTTGGGCAGAAAGCAGTTGACACCTTCTGTGAGAATCAGCTGACTTGAGGAATGCATGATAAAGTAGCGTATATTTTATTTGCAGAATTGTGTGCTACACATCCTATCAGGAAAATTTGCAGTATGCTAATGTGAGAACACACTCCTGGGGAAATTGCTAATACCTTGAATTCTGTTAATTTCACATTTTCTATGAACTTTATGTTAATATTTAATGAAATAAACCGATAGCAAGCCAAGGTGTCATCTGGCATGGTCGTCTGTAAGCTGCAGCCATTTTGGTTATCACCACATCCGTGGCTGTGGTGAGATAATCAGCAAGTACATCGTTCCTTTTGAGTGCAGAGAAAGCTTATGTTAATAACCACAAGCAAAACAGGAAAATGAGCCGGGCGTTGGTGGTGCACGCCTTTAATCCCAGCACTTGGGAGGCAGAGGCAGGCGGATCTCTCTGAGTTCAAGGCCAGCCTGGTCTACAGAGTGAGTTCCAGGACAGCCTCCAAAGCCACAGAGAAACCTTGAATCGAAAAACCAAAAAAAAAAAAAAAAAAACAAAAAAACAAAAAACAAAAAACCAGGAAAATGTTCCCAGTGAGGCGACATGGGCATGACAATGCTCTGCTACTCCTCTAGCTTCAGATTTTAAAGCGTCTGTTATATAGACTATGACTCCATTTCATGTCACAGTATCACAGCGACCCTGCGGAAGATGGAGAAGAGAGGGTGTGCTCTTTTCTTTGGCTTCTTGAGGATGGTGGAGATTGAGTCCTGTGGTGCCTACATCCTAAAGAATTGCCTGAGGTGGCACTGCACAGTATGAGACAGCAGTAACACAGTGACCTTTGAGCCGTAATGTTTTAATTTTAACGGGTTTACATTCATTTGTGTGTGTCTGGGTATGTGCACATGAGTGCAGGTGTTGATGATGGCCAGAGGCGTCAGATCCCCTGGAGTTGGAGTTAGAGGAGGTTGTGAGTCTCCTGACATGAGTGTTGGTCCTCTGGATAAGTAGTACAAGTGTTTAACCACTGAACGATCTCTATAGCACCATTGTTTGTACCTTTTTGTATTTTTTTAATAGCATGAAATATTTGAGTTGACATTACAGTGGACTCAACATAAGCCTGTCTTGGATGTAGTACGTTTTTAATTGTCTAAGTTGATTGTTTGATATGTGTATAATACCTTTTTCTATATTGTATTTCTGTGGCATGTGTCCATATACTATCTAGTTCTAATGAGTTTGTCTTGACTTCTTTCCCTTTAGTTTGATGAGTGGTGTTAAGAACAATGTTGGAAGAGGAATAAATGTTGCCTTGGTAAATGGTAAGAATAATTATTGTACTTTATCAATGTAATCAATGGGTATATTTACGCTGCACACTAAAATTTGTCCTTGGCGTCTAAGTAGAAGGCATCACTCAATACTGAAGTTGTCCTAACAAGGGTACCCTCTTGTCCAAACCACTGCAGATAGACACTTGGAATCTACTTATGGGTAGCATGTTTTCTTGGGCATACTGTAGCATGTGCATTGTGTGGCAAGCTTCTTGTGAAATTTCAAGCTACCAATCTGATACTAAATGGATGCAGTCTCGCTGCACCTTTCAGATTTCTTACCTACTATGAAGACAAGTAGACATGATTATGGGAATGTGAAATGACAAAGGATGGTGACTGTCGTCTGAGGGGAGAATAAAGTCATACTTTGTTGTGCATTTTCAGTACTGTCCACATTGTACTCAGGGCTTTGTTTGTGCAAAGAAGTTCACTGAGTCCTGGACATAGTGAGTGTTACAAAAGTAAATCTTAAGCATCCAGACCACAAAGTGCAGGCTGCCTGTGCACTGCTTACCTGTCCAGGCACATGATTCCTGTAACTGCCCTGGGTCAGTTGAATCTGCCAGAAGCTCAGCCAACCCCCAGCAGAGAGAAGCTCTCTTTGCTCTGTTCACAAGTGGTAATTATATGACTTCGTACTTCTTTTTCCCAAGTAAAAATGATAATGTTTCTTCTTTTATTTAATTGATCTTCAAGATAAAATAAGTGTCAATTATTTTCTGCAGGGGGCAGCTTTATTAGATTGCTGTTCTGATTTAAGTAGGTAATTTCTTTGCTATAGAGGTTATGCATTGGTGGTAATCCTCACGGGTTGATGATCACACATGAAAGTTAAGTGTAGCCAGAACTGATCTGAAGTCAGTGACGCACAGCTATGTGTTCGATTCAGCATAAGTCCTAGAAGCAGTTCCTTCCGTTGATGATTTCATGTCACTCATTGCTCTGCTGATATTTCAGTTGCGTGATTTAATATGTGTCATTCTGTCTCTTTTAGGGAAAACAGGGGAGGTACTAGACACCAAATATTTTGACATGTGGGGAGGAGGTACGTGTGACTTACCCTTTGTTCCTGCTGCTGATGCTGAACCCATTGCAGAGAGAACTAACTATGCCACCGTTTGCATTTCCATTTTGTTTGGCTCCTTCTCACTACACGTCCGGCCATATTTAAGTGGGCTGTTGTGTTTGCATGAGGTTTCATTATTTGTGATGGAGATTCCAATGAGATCTGAAGGACGTTAGCATCCAGTGTTTTGACAGGACAACTATCTCAAAGTCCTGAGTTGGTTTCGATTTCTGCCTAAAAGTCAGAATCATCTGAAGACCAATATAACCAGTTCACACACATGAAGCGCCTCATGTTCTCGAAAAGTAATAATCCCGTGAATCCATCCTATTTCTACCTTTGGACTCTGCTATTATAGTAGCAAACGTTTGGGAAAAGGCATAGACTTTTCTTTGTAATTTTCTGGACTCAGAGCAAGCCACAGATATTTTTCCCATCCATATTTGGAGGTTCTAGGGATAGGAAGAGGTTACCGTCAAATACTGGCGAATTTGAAGCAAATACTGGCTCCCCCAAAGAATGTTACTCCAAAGAGAAAGGTTTCTTTAAAAAGAAAGAAAGAAAGAATATGTATTTTCGTTATCTTAATTGGGTGTAGACGTGCGTCTGCATGTAGTTATGTACACATGGGTGCAGGCGCTAAGGAGCCAAGAGGCACTAGACCCCTGGAGCTGGACTTCCAGGCATTGTGAGCTCCCTGATGTGACTGCTGGGAGCCAGCTTCAAGTCCTCTGGAAGAGTAACAAGTGGGCTACTAACCTTTCAGTAGCCTAACCTCTGAGCCACCTTTCCAGTCCCCAGGATTTCTTCATCTGTAAGGAAGGCATGCCGACCCCGGCTTATCTCTTGGTTCCCAGGCTTCTTTACATATTCCCTACAAGCCAGCAGCTCTCAAGCTTCCAGACATTTATGTTCAGTTTTCAGACAAGCTAGCGTGTCTAATATTTCTTCAGCTTTTAATAAATGCTATGTATTATTTATTTAAGCCTTAGAGAAGGTTTCATAGCTGTCAGAGGTATATTAAATTACACTGTGCCCATCAATTTTAGATTTTGAGAACATAATTGCTCTTAGTATAATTTATAACATAGAAACTCTTCCATGAAGCTGTTGAAATTGGGCATGTAAACAGAGCTCTGGTACTGCTCTCCCTGCCCATCACAGGAGCCAAACTGCTGCTAACGACTCTTCCTGGTTCAGAAATAATAGCACTTTAGTGCCATCTTTTCGTTTCAATGGGAATGATTTGCTGGCATTTATGTTTCTGCTCTGAAATGCGCTTATTGTAAAATATAATCAGTTAGAGAGAAACCCCTGGAATCTTTGGTGTTGAAAAAAAATTGGAAAGACTTGAAGTAATATAGTTTTGGAGTAGATGTAGACTTGTGGTCTATAAGGAAAACTAACATTGCAAAGAGCTTATGATGGAAAATGCTTTACCATGACCAGTCTGTCTGGCAGCACCAGTTGCGCTCACGTTGCTGGAGTACTGTGGACTTGATACCCAAGAGGACCAGTGCTCGCCATAATGTGCTTGGCTTTTAGTCGTCTGCATTCCTTCCTTCCCGCAGTTCCTTATAAAATGATACACCTAGAAAACTCTATAAATCTGCCTTCTTACAGATCAAAAACAGTTTTTACAGAGGTCTCTGAGGATGGGATAAAGCAGGACTTCCTTTTCCCAGAAAAGCACTCATATTAACATTCAAGGCCAAGCCCCTTCTGGTCCCCAAAGCTTCACCTGAACCTCAGGCTCCCTGTAGACCGTGAGCCCAGTTATGTGTTTCTGAGAGATCCCGGACGTCCTCACTTACAAGTGATGAGCTTGCATGACTTTACTCTGGATTTTTATTGGCCCTGATGATAAGAGTATGAAAGACACAAGATGATTCAGAACTGGGAAATAAATCAGGAGCTGGAGGGACCATATTAAAGAATAAATGTGGTAATTTTTGTTTAGTGGGGTTTTTTTCTTCCCTGAGTGTACTCAAAAACCTTGAGTTTTTAAGCTTTCCCTAAGATTTGTCTGTTAGAAACAATTGCTTTGTGGAAACTGCACATGACCTCAGTTTTAGAGATTATCATGATAGTAATCCCATTATTTACAGAGAAACCCTTCCTTTTCTTCAGACGTGGCACCATTCATTGAGTTTCTGAAGAATATACAGGATGGAACGGTGGTGTTGATGGCAACGTACGATGACGGAGCAACCAAGTATGTAAACTTAAAGCCTAACACAACTTTTGTAGCTATAGTTTACTCTTTAAAAGCAATAGATTTTCATTGAAAAACAGTGTCTATTAAGTTGATAGGGTAACTGGACATAAGTAATATTGGCTTTTAAAAGGTCTGTTTCCTTCCTGTAAAGATTCTTCATTCTTATGCTAGAATGAAATTTGAATCACATCGTACATAACGTTTTACTTTTTTATGTTGTAACAGTATTAAACTGTTTTCTCTAACATCCTTTTTTTTTGTATTTTGGATTAACATTCTTTAGTAGCATATGGCTCATAGCAGTTTGACCTATGGGCTCATATTTGTGAAAAGATTCTCTGTAACTGCAAAGTTTTTCATTTAACGAATAACATGTTAACTCTTTTACATAATTTTTTGATTATAGCATTAGGGTAAATTTCTAAAAGTGAAATTAATAGTCAAGGACATAGATGAGAGGGGGGTGTGTGTGTGTGTGTGTGTGTGTGTGTGTGTGTGTGTGTGTGTGTGTATTTACACGTGTACATGTGAGTGCTTTTGTCTGAGAAGGCCAGAAGTGTTAGGTTATGTCCTCTGGAGCCATTTGGCATGGGTTCTGGGAATCTTAATTTGGGTCCTTTGCAAGAACAGTAGCACTCATATCTGCTGAGCCATCTCTTCAAGCCAAGGATTACACTGTGAAATTTGCAAAGTGTAGAAAAGCACAAAGAGGAAAAGGAATAACAGTTTGAAAATGTTATAGTTTCTTTGCATTTCAGATTACTTAATGCAAATATTTTCTTCACTTCAAGTATTAATAGATGGCAGCACTTAAAACATATCTTTCCAATTACGTGGTGTGTGTTTCCCCATATTAAATATTCATTACAATATAGTTGGTCATGTCTCTTTGTTCTAAAATATATGTTATGATTTTATAATCTTAAAAAAAAATCAAGGAGTCAGGCATTGGTGGCGCATGCCTTTAATCTCAGCACTCAGGAGGCAGAGACAGGAGGATCTCTGTGAGTTCCAGGTCAGCCTGGTCTAAGAGCGAGTTCCAGGATAGGCTCCAAAGCTACACAGAGAAACCCTGTCTCGAAAAACCAAAAACCAACAACAAAAAAACAAAACAAAATAAAAATCAAAACAAAATCAAGGACCGGGACTTATCGAAGGTATATGAACTGACTTTTTGGAGTCCATTACTTATGATGGGTACCTTGCCCAGCCTGATTTGGGGGAGGGGGCATTGGTCCTGACTCAACTGGGTATCCCGACTTTGGTGACTCCAAGGAGGGCTTTAACCCACCCTGAAGAGTAGATGGGGGGTGGGATGCAGGGAGGTGGGAAAAGAGGAGGAGGGTAAACTGGGGTTGGAACGTAAAAATAATAAAAAAAAAGAAAAAAATTATCTATTTTCTTAAGATAAAATTTTTGAGTGAGATTATTGAGTTAAGATATGTGTACATGTTTTTTTTTTTTTTAGAGTTTCCAGTTGTAGAGTGTTTTTAATGGGTTACTTCATTACTTATGAGATTAGACTTGTGTGTGTGTTGTGTGTGTGTGTGTGCTAGATGGAATTTTTCTTTTTTCCTTTTTTTTCTTTTTTGTATTTTCTTTGACGAATCCTCCTTTGACCATTCAAGTTGAAACATACTGATTGCTAAGAGCCCTTTATGTGTTAAGATATTCACAAGTTCTCTTACTGAAAATACTGTTTTTGTAGACACTTTGCTTTTATTTTTGTCAACTTACGGTGTCTTTGACTTCTAGCAGAGTGGGGTAGCATTTGCATAGCTGAGCCTGTAGGTTTTTCCTTTTAGTTTCTCTGACTCTTAAACCTGAGGAGTATTTTTCCATCTCCAAAGTAGATTTTCTCTTGCAGTGACTTTACTCTTTTCCTGTATTTTAAAAACCCATTTGTAATTTCCAATGTCTGTGTTGTGTCAGGTTCTACGATAGCTTGAATTTTCTCTAGTTCTCTCTTGTTAACCTCTCTCTGTTCCTAAAGACCCTGTTTCAGTTGCTTTATGACTGGCTTGTAAAAATAAGTGTGCTTTAATCCTCTCTGGTATTATTTTTTGGAGCGTTTTATGAATGACCCTGACATTGTGCACTTTCTACGAATTCAGCTAATGAGAATGTTAAATCTATAAACTCAAAGTTTAATGTGGCTGACGAGTTCAGCTGGTTTTACATAGCTAAATTGTTCAGAGTCTAATTTAAACTTTATTCATAAAAAAAGTGACTTGTACATTGGTTTGGCTAGATTATGGGGTATAGTATATGTATAACGTCAGCTTTTAACGTAAAAACTCGCTTTCAGTCTAGACACACGTGACCTTTCTTTTTCACCCTGTGCTTTTATTACTGACCCTTATGGAATCAGAACTCTGATGAGTTGTCGATACCGAAGGTTGCCCCGTGGGTTCCCTGAAGGCCACCTGAAGCAGCAGCCAGAAAGTCTGGGCAAGTTCCTTGAATCTCAGCTGTGTCCTTGAACTCCCCACTTGCTGGAAGCCAGCACCCTCACTGCTGTTTCCCCATTCGGAAAAAAAGGAGCCGAGGGCATAGTGAAGACCTGCAGTCTCCTCAGGGTGGGCTCTAAATTCTGCTCCACAGCCCCGAGTTTGGGTAAATGGAACAGCAAAACAATGAAAGTGTTTGGTATCGTCATCTGATACCAAAATATTTGAAGCTAATTGAGATTTTTTTCCTTTAGTCTTCCAGACTCAATATGCATAGCTTTTCAAGCCTTTTATCATATTAAGTTCTCATTCGTTTCCCGTCCTGGCTGGTGTCTTGGGCATTCTTTAGTTCATTATTGTCTCTTAAAATGAGTGTCTCAAATTAAACCCAGTGTTCCAGATGTGGTCTGGCCAGAGCTGCCTACAGTGGAGACGCTAACCTGCCATGATTCAGAGATTACATTTCTTTGAATATTCATGTAGGCTGGAATTATAGTTTTCTCTAAGCAATCAAGTCACATTTTTGGCTCATAAATGTTTGGTCAAGTTAGATTGTTAAATTGTCATTATTGTCAGATCTTTTCCTTTGATCTCAGACTTTTTTTTTTAAACCACTACCAAGTCAGGTTTTTCTCCATTCAGAACTTGATTTTGTTTAATGTAAATGAAGAGCTTTATATTCATTTATTCCTATTAGATTTGATTGTACTGATTGGGCCAGCTTGGTCTTGAGTCTGACGTGTGTCCTAGGAGTGTTCTGTGATCCGGGCTTTGTACTCACTCCAAAGTCACTCATGTGTCTAAATTTAAGCCTTGATAAAAATGTTTTCCAAGGGCAGCATGCCACCAAACTAGAGACCTGGTTCCTCACGGGATTCTTCTGTTAATCCATCGCAGGGATGGCTTTGCAGACAGCTGCCAGTGTCCCCCCAGTAGGCGTGCTGTCCAGCTGCAGCTTAGATGTTTTACTCACAGCAGCTATTTTCTGAGGCTATCAGTTGCTAACTTGAAATTCATAGAGGAAACTGATTACAGTACCCTGATCTGCTGCCATGAAGCTTAAGTGTCTGAGATGTCATTCAGCTTGGCTTGATTCACTCCTGTGCCCCTGCTGCTACACCGCCTTGATGTCTCCCTTCCTTGTCATACTTCAAGGGCTGTTCGTTGCCTCCCAATCTACATTTTTTTATAGGAATGGTATTTGTTTTATTGGAGTCAGGGCTATAGGTGTACACTGTCCCTTCTGGCTTTTAAGTGCATTCTAGAATCAAACTCATGTCCTCATGTTTGCCTAGCAAGCCTTTTACCACTAAGCTGTCATTTCCTCGGCCCTGTTTGCCTTAAAAACAAAACAAGAACTAGGTAATCACTCGCTGTGCCTTGCCTGGGAAGGCTGTTTCTTGGCACTCGTCAGTTGCCTGTAGTTGTTTGTCTAGGGTTGAGGCCTCCTGAGCGCCCTCTCTCTGCCATGTTAGCATGTCTGTTGGTATTCTCCTTGTTCAGGTCATGTTTAGGAATGTTTGGTAAGACTTCATGCCTGTAGCTACTCACATTTCTAGGAGATAAAAACGTCTCACAGCAGACCTCCTGTTCCTCTGGCTTTCATAATCTTTCTGCCTTCTCTTCTGAAATGATCCCTAAGCCATGGAAACACCAGCATATTGGCAGAGCAAATTGTATTTATTTACTTAGGAACAAATACACCACCAATGCCACTACCACCAATTAAAGTCTGGACATGTGATGTGACTCATGTCTTTAATCACAGCACTGGGGAAGCAGAGGAAGGCCAGCCTGGTCTACATAGTGAGTTTCAGGACAGCCAAGGCTACAATAGTGAAACCTTATTTCAGAGCAGGGGGGGGGATTGAAAAGAGCAATGGAAGGGATATGTGGGAGGATTAGGAGGAAGGAAAGGGAAAGGGAAAATGATGTCATCCCAAAAATAAATAAGCAAAGTATTTTTAAAATAAAATACAAGATTTACATAAAGAAAACCTTGAGTGTTAAACTTTTAATGTCTTAACATCTCTACTTTTTTCATTTCTAAAACAATGTATCAGTGATTTTCTTTAGAGATTGTATGTGTGATGTCTGTAGACCTAGAAGCTTTTAGATTGCCCTTAAAATGCATAGCCGGATTTGAGTTTTGCTTCCCTTTTTCCATCACGTACGCAATGCTTGCCTCCCTGGCCAGATCACCTTGATCAGCCATCGCCCTGTCCTGTTTTTGTAGCACCAGGGTCCCTCATTACACTTTGTTACTCTTTTTATCTTTGCAGCAATTCGTGCATGCGTGCCTGCTTGCGTGGGTGCGTGCGTGGGTGCGTGGGTGGGTGGGTGGGTGGGTGGGTGTGATTTTTGAGTCCTGTTTCATTCTGCTATGACTGGTCTTCATATAGTATTACTTAAAGCTTTGTCTTTAGTAATGCGTTTTACCTTGTACTCTAAGAGCTTTCCTGTGTTTAATTAATAATAGTGTCGATTTAGAAATTATCCCCTCCCCAGACTTTTTTTTTTTCTTTTGGTTTTTACGAGACAGGGTTTCTCTGTATTGTTTTGGAGGCTGTCAGTCCAGCCCGGCCTCGAACTCACAGAGATCCGCCTGCCTCTGCCTACCGAGTGCTGGGATTAAAGGCGTGCGCCACCACCGCCCGGCCAGACTTTTATATAGTTAAAATTATTAGTTGTGTTTGCTTGCTTGCTTGTTTTTGCATTCCTTTATTTTATTTGTTTGTTGGGGGTGGGGTAGGGGAGTACGTGTCTCATACGTGAAGGTCAGAGGACAGTTTTCAGAAGCTGGCTCTCTCCTGCCGTGTGGGCCCCAGGGACCAAACTTAGGCTACCACACTCCTTGGCAGGTGTCTTGAGCTGCTGAGCCACCTCTTCGGCCCGTGTTTGTTTGCTTTCAAAGAATTACATTCTCTCGGGAATTTCTGAGGAGCTGCGTTATGTCTCTGGGTTGTTCCCAGAGCACAAGTTCTCCCTTTTCTGTTCTGTGCTTGGGAGAAGAAGTAGGGTATGGACCTGCGGGGCATACCTCCATGAAGAGGCACGGCTCCCATGGATGGTGGAGGCCTGCTGGGTATACACCAGAGAAGACTGCAGGGGCATGGATTTAAGCCGATAGAAAGTCTTCATTAGTCAGCTAGCAAGTATACTTCGAGGTCAAGACCCCAGTGATCTCAGTCTTTGTCAGGGTGAGCATTTAAACATAAAAACCATGTCCTGGACTGACATACTTCAGTTCACATGAACAGTTAGCTGGAAGCGGAACTACAGAAACCATTTAGAGACATTCCCAGGCTTTGACAGATTAGGTCTTTGTTTTCATTTTGGCCGGCAGCACTGTCTATGTGCTGAGTTCTATGACCTAGATGGCAATTCCATCATGGAGTCAGTTGTGCTAAGGTTTCAGGGCCTTCAGAGATCTGGAACCCTGTTATATCTGTTTCTGTTCTGGGTAAACCACATGTAGCATTAGGATAGTTTGATGAAAACATGATCCCTGGCTTCATATCTCTCCTGTTGTGTTATTGGAAAGTTTTTTTGTTGTTGTTGTTTATCTCAAATTATCACAAAAATAATTGATTCAACATAATCCTTATAAAAATGTATTACACTTTATTTATTGTGGATGTATGAATGAGCACACGCATGCAATGATGTGCATATGGAAGCCAGAGGACAATTTGCCAGAGTTAGTTCTAATTTTTTTTTCAAGACAGGATTTCTCTTTGTTAGCTTTGGAGTCTGTCCTGGCACTCTCTCTGTAGGCCAGGCTGGGCTCGAACTCACAGAGATCTACCTGCCTCTGCCTCCTGAGTGCTGGGATTAAAGGTGTGTGCCACCACTGCCCAGCTCAGAGTTGGTTCTTTACTTCCACCACGTCTGTTGTGGGGACCAAACTCAGGTCTTCGTGCTTGGGGTCAAGAGCTTTTATCTTCTTGAGCTATCTTATTGGCCTTGAACATTTAAAAAGAAAAAAGTCTCTCTCTCTCTCTCTCTCTCTCTCTCTCTCTCTCTCTCTCTCTCTCTCTCTCTCTCTCTCTGTGTGTGTGTGTGTGTGTGTGTGTGTGTGAGTGTTAGAAAAGATTGTGTAGGTATGTGTGCCCTTGAGGACATCAGGTGTCCTCTACTTGCTCTCTGAGCAAATAGAATCCAACAAAAAGGAACACTGGGACAACCCACAAACTCTACATAGGAAGATCAGAAAGCAAGAAGTGATTTTATAGTTAGATATAGACCGAGGTGTCTGGGTTTGGTCCGTGTGGCCATGATTTGTTTCAGGAAAAGGTAGAAAGCAGTTATCAGCAAGGGCACAAGTCCAGGGGGAAAGACTGGAGGGAACCAGGGCCAGGTTTCTTTCTTTCTTTTTTTTTTTTTTTTTTTGGTTTTTCGAGACAGGGTTTCTCTGTAGCTTTGGAGGCTGTCCTGGAACTCACTTCGTAGACCAGGCTGGCCTCGAACTCACAGAGATCCGCCTGCCTCTGCCTCCTGAGTGCTGGGATTAAAGGCGTGCGCCACCAACGCCCGGCTCAGGGCCAGGTTTCTAACAGTCCTTTTGTTAACTTTTAACTTTTAAATTCTGTGCGCATGTGTTTGCATGTATATGCATGTGCATGTGTGCATGTCTGCGTGCTTGCATGTGGTGTATGCACAGGCGTGTCAGTCTGCCGCTATGTGGAGGTCAGAGTAGGATATTAAGTGTCTTGTCTTCTACTGCTCTCTCACTTACTGCCTTGAGACAGGGCTTCTTACTGAGCTGAAAGCTGACTAGTTGAGCTGACATCATCTGTGTGCCCAGGTACAGTGCTGGAAAGGTTGTAGGTTCTCTTCTCATATCCAAGTGTCTAGATGCCAGCAACGCTGGCAGGCTTTTCTGAGGGGAACTCAGGTCTTTTATGTTATTTCCTTTCTGTACAAGAACGCCACAACGTTCCCATGAAAAAATGCAGGAATTAATGATGTCACATTGATTCTCCCTCTGGCTAACTTGGCATGGTTTATCCACATGGATCCTCATGTTCGCTTGTGAAATTCAAAAGTACAGAAGGACGATTGGCTGCCCCTTCAATACACACACACACACACACACACACACGTATGTATATATGTATGTATGTATGTGTTTAGTTCATATAAACTTTTCAACAGGAAGCATTTTACTTTCTATTTTTTTAAATAGGAGAGCATGCCTGCATTTGGATAACCCAACTATTTGGGGGTCAGTTGTTATCCTTGTTTGTGAATTTAGCATTTGTTAGTTTACCAAGACCACAGACTGTACTTTTTCTGAGGGACAAATGTGAATGGAGTCCTGTGGCTCTCTTAGGAGGCAGTGATGTTGGCGCCCTACCACAGTAGTGAGCCTGCCGCCTGCTTTCCGCATTGCAATACGTTTTACTCTTCTTCCGGTGCCGCAGCTCCCCTGGCTGTGCTGACAGAAGCAGAGTTCTTTTTAAGAGTAGCAGAAAACAGAGCAAATAGAGCACATAGAGCAAATAGAGACTGCGCAGGTGGCTCAGTGGTCCTTTCAGAGTTGCCCTCCGGTGCAGAAGGTGCACCACACAGGGGAACCATGGGAAGTCATAGCTGAACCCGGGAGGCTGGGCCAGGAGCATGTGAGCACCATCCATGCAAAGGTCTCCGAGAGGCTTGGATGGTGTGTGTGTGTGTGTGTGTGTGTGTGTGTGTGTGTGTGTGTGTGTGTACATGCACACAGGTGCCCTCAGAGGCCAGAGGCATTGGATCCCCTAGGACAAAAGTTCCATATATTGTGAGCCACCCATCTGGGAACTGAACTCGAGTCCTTTGCAAGGGCTGCACGAGCTCTTAGCCACTGTTCCGTTTCTCCGGTCCCTGTAAACATTTATTATTCTTGATTTCCATTTCTTCTTTTGGAATGTTAGACATTACACTTCCCTTTTCAGTTTACTTGTTCACACTGCATTTTTTTTTCAGAAGTGAGTCAGACGGGCTGCATGCCCCAGGGGCTTTTGCTTATTTTTCTCACAGATTCCAATGAACTTCATCCAGGGTGACAATGGCATTCAAGCTGTGTTTGAAACAGTTCCCGTGTCCTGTGGATGTGACTGTTCGAATGGTTTGTGGAGAGTTAACTGTTGTATCGGTGTGCTTCATATTGTATAAAGCCTCCCTTTTAAATGCAAAGCAACCCACTTACCTTTAAAGTCAGCTTAGGATGTATTTTGTTCATTAAGGCGTTAGAGAGCTGAAGGCCACTACCGGCATGAATCAGCCCGTCCTCATTGAGTGTCCTGCTGTTTTCAGGTGGCACATGCTGCCTCGGGAGCTAGCAGGACAGATCTATGTAAATAATGTGTAAAAGCTGGTTGCTGGTGGCGTGTTGGTTTATATTGCTGGACTTCACATCAAGTAGCCTGTGTACCTGCTCCTTAGTTTTCCTTTTCTAGCCCCGTAGCTAGTGCTCATCTGCTTTGTTTCTGCTCTTTGTGAGACAGGAGAGGGAAGCACTCAGCATTTCTGTGATCCTCACAGATATCTTTAGTGGCATCTTGTCAATTGAGAGTTTGTCCGGAGGTTGATTTTTTTTTTTTTTTTTTTTTTTTGGTCACTGCTTTCCTGGTAACCACTTAGCCCTCATGTGCTTCCTGCATTCATTTTTATTAGAAAGCTAAATTTGTTTCAAATAGAAGACAGTGCTAAGAAGCCTCCAGCGCCCATCAGCATTCACTAGTCTCCCATTCCCATGGATTTCACCAAGGGTTCCCTGGAGAGTGAATGAAGGCACGGGTTGCTTAGGACCTGGATAGCCTTGTAGGCATCTGTTAGCAGGGCCGTCATCTCCCTGAGAATAAACGTACTTAGAAGTGACCCGGTGAAGACAAACCGTTAGGAAATACACGAGCTGCTCTCTGATTAACTGCTCGCTTCTTGACTTTGCCTTTCATCACTCAAGAACTCGAGTAAGAATGTTGTTTCAGAAATTTTTTTAAGTATTCATCTTCTTATATTCTCTGATGTAACCTGAAATGTTTTCACCCACATATTCAGGGAGTTTCTTGGTATTTAAACAGTGCAATGCCCAGATGCAGAGATGGCTGCTCTCCATTCCCAGCAACCACATGGTGGCTCACAACCATCTATAATGAGACCTGGTGCCCCCTTCTGGCATTCAGGCACTCCTGCCCGCAGAACACTATACATAATAAATCTTTTTTTTTTTAAAGTGCAGTGCCCCATGTTTATGTCTTGTCCTCTCTTTCAGGCTCACTGATGAGGCGCGGCGGCTCATTGCTGAGCTGGGGAGCACATCCATCACAAGTCTTGGATTTCGAGATAACTGGGTCTTCTGTGGTGGGAAAGGCATTAAGACAAAAAGCCCCTTTGAACAGGTTAGTTTCTAAGGTGTTCATAACTAATGGTCAAGAGAAAATTAGTGAAATTTTTTCACATGATATTCTCATACCAGTTATTTGAAAATTTGGTTAAGTGCCAGCACTCAGGAGGCAAAGGAAGGTGGATCTCTGAGTTCGAGGCCAGCCTGGTCTACAGAATGAGTTCCAAGGCAGCTAGGGTTAGAAACCTGGTCTCAAACCTCACACCCCCCCAAAAGGAAAATGAGATTATACAAGTAGTGAATATGTTCAGATAGTTTTTGTAAGTTCTTGGTAAATAATTAAAATAATGGTGACTTTAAAATTTTTGTTTAAACTTAGAATTATCTCCCTCTTATACAACAATGTATTATCATTCTCAGTTTTTTAAGCATTTCAGTTATAATCTGGTACTAGAATCAGCTGAATTCACAAATATGTCAGAACTCAAATAGAATGTAAATCTTTTGACAAATAATCCTGTAGACGTTTCCTTACAAGCGTGTATTTGTTTGTTTGTTTTTTGAAGGTTTGCCACATAGCTCCCTGCCCACAAGGGTCACTCACTTAATATCTTGAGCAGTAATTTATGTCACCTCCTTGTTGGCATGTGCTACTGAAATGAGAGCAAGTGGGTTAGCAAATCACAGACGTTTGTTAAGCCATGTTCTGTCGTTGTGTCCCCTCAGCACATAAAGAACAACAAGGACACAAACAAGTACGAAGGATGGCCTGAGGTGGTGGAGATGGAAGGATGCATCCCCCAGAAGCAGGACTGAAGGGAGTGTGAAGACCAGAGGACGCACTTTGATTCTGAAGGAGAGCTGTAAAGCAGCCGCTCCATGTACATATTTTAGTAGCATGCGGCCGGCCAAGGGCGTGCATGAGCAAGATCGTCTCTGTTGATTCCAGGATTATTTATTGCTAACATAAATGGCTACCTTTGTAAATAGCCCTCATACTGAACAAATCACTGAACCATTTTTAAGCACATTTCCCCTAAAAGTACAATGTTTAGACTTCAGTGGCAGTAATGTACTTTAGTTCTAAACGCATATATTCAATGGGTAACCAGAAGGTTGTATAGGACACTGATTTATATTCTGGTTGCTGTAAGACTCTATCATGGAAAAACATGCCTTTTAGGGAGGAAATTTTGTTCGACATATGTGTCTGTATAGATATCTGGCATGTGCTGACGGTATCCTTTAAATTAAAGAGATTTTTGGCTAGTTGTATGTGTAATGTTATCATACAGTCTGGTTCGTGATGTACCTCTTTATATAACCTTTATCTTTCCTTCCAAAGAAACCAAGAAATAAAATATTTCACACAAAAATATTCATCAGATTTGTGAAAAGCACAAAAATTACGTTTTAAAACACTGAAACACTAATGTATGTGTCATTTGGGGCTCAGCTTCTAGACTTTGTGTTAGCGGTCTGAAGTATGTGTTTTTGTATAAGCTATTTAGAGTAAGCCTAGAGATGGGACAGAAGCGGAGAACGAGGCCTAGTCCCTTCCTCAACCTAATCGGGTCATTCAGGACAGCAGTTAGTGAAGTTGGGGTAATACAGGCATCTGTCTACTTTGCCCCCTTCACTAACCTCATGGTCTGAGAAGAGGAGTACTTCAATCACAGCTTTGATTTATAAACCAAGAAACTCTGTTACTTACTTCTAGCTTCATAATAGTAACTGTTGCCCAACATTATAGCAGAGTATTTAAAAAGTCCTAATTACTTTATTAGAGCACTAAATACCTATGGTATGCAACATATTTGGATTGGCTTAAAATGTAACATAAACAGATGTAGTGCTCATGCTGCCTTTGGTGGGATGAAGCAACACTTAAAATTTGAACCTAAAATTTAGGTGCTTTGTAGAAAAATCGAAAAGCAGTGTTTGCTATTTTGTTAAGAAGCTGGAAGCAATTCTGTATTTCTTGACTATTCCTGACCTTGTGGTACTGTTTCTCTCCACAAACTGAATGTAGTAGCTCCAGGAGACACATCTCCCTTGTTCAGACAAGTTTTGTAAACTTTTAAGAGTTCTGGTGCTTCTATACTAGCTCATATCCAGCATGTATGTCCTGCCATGTAAAATAATTCCCTTGATTCTGTAAGCCATTTTATAGTTTCTGGGGATTGGAAAATAAATGTTGTAGGGTTTTTTGTTTTGTTTTGTTTTTAAATAATGTAAGTAGTCTTGGTTTCACATTGTGAATTTGTGTGTGTGTGTGTGTGTGTTTGACAAAGTATATACTATATCTGCAGAACATCACATGAATATCTTTTGACAAATTTTTGTACTTAACATATAAAAAATTAAGTCTCTGCCATTAAACACAGTCATACTCTGTATATATTTGAACATGTATAGAAGTTAAGTTGCTTGACAACAGGCTATCCCTTTGAGTTTTAAAGACTGGCAAGATGGGGTTTACAGTTGTATAAAATGTTAGGTTGGTTATGTAACTGCTACCATTCGGTCATTTTCGTCTGGATCCTGTCTTGTACTGGTTGCACCAGCTTAACTCTGGAAGCAATAATCGACTGTTTTACTTTCACATCAGCCTTAGAAGTAAAGGATGCTCATGTAATGTCGAGAATTTTCTTCATTAGAATCACAGCTCCAACACTGACATGTACTGGTCCAAGTGATGAGAGGGGGTCTGCGGATGCGGTTCCGTTTGTAATCACAGGTGCTTCCCTAGCAGAGGTGTGGGAGGTGGCTGTGAAAACAGAAAGGAAGGGGCATATAAGTGGATATTTGGGAAATAAGAAAAACAAGAGAACATTTATATCCTTTAATTTTAATTTGGTTCAAGTTAAATTCATCATTTTGCCAAATTTGTTTTTAAATAAATCAGCTAATGTTTTGCAATTTTTACGATAATTTAGCTTGTGTTTTTTATTTCAAAGGTCTTACACAAATGCTAATTTAACCTCATAACGATGCATTGTTCGTTCTGTTTTGTCAACCCCCCTCTCCCATCCGTTTTAAATAAAAGGAAGAGAATTGCACTGTGCTGTGAGCAAAGCAGTTTAAATGGAAATGCACTTGACATCTTTTCAAGTCGGTATGAAAGCAGGGGAAATGTTTGTCGATTGGGTAAAGAGATCTGCCACTCAGCCAGTTACTCCCACCCCTTCAGATGTACCCCTCGTGGAGCTGCAGAAGTTAAGGATTGATTTTTACCTTTTCTGGAGCCTTTGTAAGGGTTCTTTTCTGGTCCTTACCAGGGTGGCTTTCCTACCACAAGCTTGGCTTTGATTGTCACATGCCAAATTATCAGTCAGTCCCCACTTCCCAAGTCCCTTCTTTCACCTCTTTTATTCCTTCTTGAATCTCTTGGCATCCATCAAATCAAGAGGAAGATGAGATGAAAAGCAATTGGACTTAGTCAGGGAGTGGCAGGTATTTGCAGCCAGGTAGTATAATGGAGCATCAAAGGACAGGACTGAGGCTGGTGAAGGCTCCTTGGGGAGTCTTAGGTCTCCCTCCAGTCCAGAGGGTGCACCCTGAGAGCACTGTATGGAGGAAGCGCTTCTGTGATGGCCAGAGAGAAATGGGTTGGTCAGCCCTGAGGTTAGGTAACAGCCATGTTTCTCTTGGGTTTGTCCCATAACCATGTTATTAGCATTGGGAGAATTGCCAGCCCACTGAGTTGACAGGTACTGCTTGTTGCTAGTTCTAAACTCACTGTCCAGCTTGGCATCTTTTTGGCAGTGTGCAGTACACTGAACATGGAGAGAACTTGATAATAATAGAGTATCATGCAAGCTCTCAACATTTCATAGAATTAGCTTCTTATGCTTGATAATCAGAAGAGAGCTAAAACCTTACAGGGGTAAAGTTCTGTAAGAGGAGGCAGTGCAATGTGGTCCCTAACACCACAGACAGACCTGAGGGTGCTCTGTGTCCATTGGTTATGGTGTGAATATTGTCAGTTTCTTGTAAAACAGATAGTACTGGAGTAGAGCAGATAGTGATAGTATTTATAGTGCCAGCCAAGGATAAAGTACCCATTAAATCCAGTTAGCCATGTTTCTTGCAGACTTTTAGATGCAGAAAAGTTGCCAAGTGTACATCGGTACCTTACCAGTTCTAAGCCAGAGAGGAACCAGTCAGTGACCGGCCATTAGCCTCATTAACGGATGAGATGCAGCTACACTTGAGGCTATCCTTGATCTCCTAGGCTCTGACTGACTTTCACATTCTGTCTCATTCATTACCCGGAACACCAAGGACCCCATCATATGCAGAATCCAAGATTTCATTTCTTGCTAGGTGCTCCGTATTTCAAATCTGTGGAAAATGGGCTCTGCTTACCAGGCTAGCTATGGAGAAAAGTGTGAGGAACCTTGTAGGGAGTACAGACCTTGGTCCCCTGCTCCTAAAAACTGGCTGCAGGGCAGTATGAGAGAGCATTAGGGATAGGGAGACAATGGGGCTCAGTTGCAGTCCCACTAGGACTTGCCTCTTGCTTAGAAGGGCCTATGATGGTGGTTCTTGCCATCAGGACTGTCTAGGCAGAGGAAGAATCTTGAATGGGGATTTTGAAGCCTTTGTTATTATTGCTCTTGTTTGCTTTGGGGGATTTCCAAGGACCTTTCCCACAATGTGTTAACCACCATTCCAATGTGCTTCGCCTTACCTGTGAGGCTGGTACCACTGGGTACAGCTTGATAGGAACAAACTCAACGTAGGAACAAGTGAATTAACTGTCAAACCTTGCCTTTCTGCATTGTCAATGAAATAGGATGGCCCATTGTATGTCTCTACTAAACAGAATTGTTATCTTCTGTAGAGATGTCCCTTTAAGCAGAGAAGGGTTAATACTCACCCCTGGGATTCAGGTTTTAGCTAAGAGTCCAATGGGACTCTTGGTGTCTTATCCTAAAACTAAATGTCAAGCTTTGCATTATTATTTACACATGATGACATTGACACGGAAATTAATGATTTTCAAGTTCAACTCCAAAACTGCTGTGCTTAGATTTAGTTCTCTTGGGAACTCAATTGGGAACCTGATTAGAGACCTGAATTCTTCGATGAGAAAAGAAATGAACAGCAAGAATGTCTTGAGAGTTCAGTTATGAGCATAGGAAAGATTTAAGCATGAATTATGTCCGACACTGCCATCAGGGTATGTTCAGTTCATGGACAAGCCAGTAAGAACACAGAATGGGAGATTCAGTTGGTGAATTTCCTTAGGTGTGAGGAATAGGATGTAGGTCCCTGCTGTAGAGAATGTGCTCGGCCCCCAGTGGCTTTCTGCTCTTGAGCAGGTTGAAGATGTAAGATATAAGTGAGTGAGCCTATTCCTAGACTCATACAGAAGTAGGAACCTCTTGGTCAGAATGAGGTTGAAAGCCAGCAGAATGGCTGTCAAATGCTGTCAAAATTCTATTATGGAAGTAGTCTGGAGTAGGTTCCCTATGGTTCTAAATCCCAGGGCGTGTTGGACATGGCACACGGTGACAGGTATTGTGGCAACTAGAATTTTGCGGTTTCTATATTTAGTCAATGAAGTTTAAACTAGTATTTTGAGAAATAATAGGTTGGTTGTTTGAAGAGAAAACATTTCAAGTTGACAAAGGGAAGAATTTCTCAAAATAATGAAATTAGTTTTTGTGAGCTCATCCTCTATTCATTAAATAGAAGGCCTGTCAGAGACTATGTATCCATCCCATTGACTTCAGTTTTCCCATTTGCTGTCTTAGTGAATGCTATTTTTTTGCCCAAAGAGATTGAGAGGAGCAAATATTAATTTTCTGGAGAGTTTAGGATGCAGGAATGGTAGTACATAGGACTAGTGAAGAGAAAAAGGAGATCATTGATTTTAATTTGTGGCAATAGCCCCCTCTCGGTCCCCCCCTACTTGCCTTAGAGTTTAAGTTGTGTTGAAATATTCAGCAAAACATGGTGGTGGCCTTTACTCATTAGAAAGACTCACAAGGGACACACACTTACCTTCTCTTATAGATACTCAGAACTAGGTAGGTATAGATTATGACCACAGCTGTTAGGTTGTTACGAATGTTTCTTGGCAGTGGTGGAGGTCAGTCACTCCTGGTGCTAGACTGGTAATTTAACAGGGAATAGACAGTCTTTATCCCACCACATTTTGCTTCCAATTCTTACAAATCAGATGCTCCACTTAGCTCTGCCCATTAAAAAGGTACATATGAATCTTAGTTGGTGTCAACTAGCTTCCTGTTTGCTGCTGTCCTCTCTTTATAATTACTCAGAGGGCTACTTTCTTTCCTTTCAAAGCTTTAGCCTGGTGCAGCCTTTCCACCCATGTAGTTTTACTTTGTCTGTGAAGATAAGCCATTAGAAACCACAAACGTTCCTATTTTCTAAAAAGAATACCTTGTGAAGCATTGGACTCTAAGCACATCAGCAAGGAAGGCTGTATTTATTTTATGCTGACTTAAATTGTTATTTACTCAGATCATTTCTTCTAGTAAGATTGATAGCTTCTTGGGTAATCCAACTGTTTGTGCTGTGGAGATCTGAAATAGAAGCCAGCTTCAATCACTTTGAGCTCCTAGCCAAGTTTATAGAACCCAGCCATAAAGAAACATCTGTAATTTGACTATACTTACAGATCCCTCAAAGTCTTTACATGGTGTAAACCTAGGCCCCTGATGATTTGTACCCTCTGAGATGCACAGGAACAGTGTGGCTGTGGAGGGCACAGATGCAGCTGGTCCATCCTGTGTGAGCTTGGGTGACTACTTGACTGACAGCTCCTATGCTTACTTCACTCATCTGAGAAATGGAGCCACTATAATGGTGCCTAGTTTATGGGATTGTTGTGAAGAATATACGTATATGTGAATGAAATTTAACAAATATATACATATATGAATAATATTTATTTTGGCCCATGCTAGCTATACAGCAAATGCTATCAGGTTGTTTACTGAAGTTAATGTTTGTCTTCCCCATCTCTCTCTGGTATCCTGCAGACGGAGTTTCTGCCCCGCCAGGTCCTGCAGCCCTTTAGTCCCAAATAAATACACAGAGGTTTATATTATTTGGAAACTGTTTGGCCAATGGCTCAGGCTTTTTATTGGCTAGCTCTCTCTTAATTATTAACCCATTTCAATTAAACTATGTATTGCTATGAGGCTGTGGCTTGCCCGTAAAGCTCCAGCATGTTACTCCTTCAGTGGCTACATGGCGACCCTAGAGTGGGAGCCAGCCCCTTCCCTGAACACCTGAAACCACACCCATAGGGTGTGGCCACCACTGCAAGTTCACTGGCAAAGCAAAATGTGTCCCACTGTGTCCCCTTTCATGCTATGACACAGCACTGCTTTTTTATTCAAGACATGTTACACTTGCTGCATAGTAAAACTGAAATTAAAGCAAGAATCAGTGCAACTTAGCTTTCCTTAGAAAGGTCTGTCTTGGGGATTATTTGTGCTTCTTGGAGAAAGACTTACGGCTTCATCAAATCAGCTTAGGAGATGACAGTGCTCCAAGTAAGGACCTAACTAACTAGTGACTTATTTCCCAGTCTTTGAGGACCTATGGGAGGTGATAAAAATACTAGCAGCAACTCACAAGGGCTGGCACTTCTGCCTCCATGTCTCTCATTTAGTAAACAATAACTTTGTTGAATTTTAAGGGTCATGGTTAAATGCTCAGTACAGATCTTAACAGTAGAACTATTCATATCAGTGCTAACAATGCTTCAGAAGAAGTGTTTCAAAAATATGTACTGTGAGTATCACATGGTTCTAAAGCTAAAAGGGCATGTGAGGTCATAGCACGTAAATATATATAATGAAGTGTCCTCATTCTTGGTATCATGTATGGTTCCTTAAACTACAGAGCAAAGCAAATACCATTCAAACTGGGAGTAGAGAATACTGTGGTTATTTATATTCAAAAGAATGAATAGGTTCTGTAGTGTACTGTTATCAGAGAAATACTTTCCATATTCCTAAAGCAGAGGTTACAGATAATGCTATTGTTTAATACGATTTTCCTTATTTGTTTATTTTTTATTTTTTTGGTAGAGTCTCACTATATAGCTAGATTGGAACAGGCACAGGCTGTCCTGGAACTCACAGAGATCTGCCTGCCTCCACCTCCCCAGTGCTGGAATTAAAGCTGTGGGCCACCATACCTGGTTTGTTTTTCCTTAATTTCATTTTAAGATGATCCATCCTCTCTTATTAGTCAAATCAGAAAAACAGCAACATAAAAAAAAATCTTAAACTCCTAAGTTGAAAGATCAGTGCATTAGTGGGACTGCTCCCACATATAGTCCACAGTATTTGGGTTTGGGGTTTGATTTGTCTGGCTGTGAATTCTGCGTGAGGCCAGACACTGAAAGCACATCACTAGAACTAGGCATGACGGTCATTCTTGTTTCCTTTCCTGGTAAATTAGTGGCCTGGTATTCCTCTACACATAATCATCTCCTCCTTACTCTCAAACTGCCTAAATTAGTTGGAGCTGAAACCTACTGCTGGTGCCCAGCAAGAGCTCAGATTGTCACTAGAAAGATGAGAATACCTGCTGCCCACCCCTACCTCGCAGTTGTCACTGATTGACTTAGAAAGAAGCACATTCAACCAATCAGTGCAAACATCAACTCAGAAGATCTTTCCCAGACCTTGTAGGACGGAACCCTTTCTCCTGTCTTCAGTGTATATAAGAAAATGGCCTGTTTTTCCTTAAAAGGTTAGGTCTGCAAATGTGGTGGCCTTGTGACCAAGAGACAGAGATGGAGCTGCAGGGGGTGCAAGAATTTGAGGCAAACAGCTACAGAGCCTGGCTCTCAGGACAAGACCAGAGATGAAAGTGATGGTGAGAGGAGCCCAAGGACCATGGCAGACACTTACTGATAATGCTCCCTCTGATCCAGTTAAAATGTTGAAGATTTCAATTTCTGAGTCAATATGTTTCCTTTGATGTTTAAGTCAATCTAGTCTGGATTTGTTGTTACTTGCAACATGAAGATAGATGGGTGAAAAAGTCAAGGATGCCTGCAGGGGTGGTGTCGAAGGTAAGAAGGAAAAGAACCCAGAGACACATGGGAGTGAGAAATTCCTCCTTGGCATCCTAGAAAAGGCAGCCAGGTCAGCACGGGGAGGGGGGGGGGGGTTTAAGGAATGGCTGGAGTTACCGGCTGTTAGTGAATCAGAGGCTGACCGATTCTCCGCCAGGTGATAGGGCAATATGAAAAGTTTTCTGATCAGTAGAGTAAGAGTTCGTGTTCTTACTCTCTTAAAGTAGAAGGGTGATTATTTTCAGGGCAGATAAATTAGTCACTTTGCAGGAAGAGCTTGAGAGTGCCTCGCCCCACATCACAGCCAGAGAATAAGGAATGGGAAACAACTCTTTCGCATTACCACAGTGTTTGCTCATTTGCCACGTCCACATTTCTCACTTAGCAAATAGTAACTTTAAAGGCCACAGTTAAATAAATGCACAATCTTGATTTATTAACATCCGAATTTTATATAACTTCCGTAGTTTTGCTTCTCAAATTGTTGATCAATCGGTTTAAAATAATGAATAGAAAGTAGATTAAAATCCTTGATAAATATTTCTTATTAATAAAAAGAATATTCTTTGTGTTCATCCTGAGCTTAGAAAAAACTGTTTTCCCATACAGTTCTAAAATATTTAACAAAGTATGAAAGTGTAAGCATTTACGTTAAAATATAACCTTAAATTCAGCCCTGTGGCATTTTACTAGATATTTTGTAAAATGTGAGCATACATAAGTGGATATTAAAACAAGACCGAGGGTTTGGGGATTTAGTCCAATGGTAGAGAACTTGCTTAGCATGCACAAGTCCCTGGCTTCTGTCCTTAGATCCAAAAGAAAAATGTAAGAAAAGAAAGAAAACAGAAAGATAGCACTCAACATTCAAATAGAAAGGCAACCTTGCATAAAATACACTAAATACCCAGGGTATCAAGTTCACCATTATTCTTTTCCCATCTAATACTTATACTATTAAATTTGTTATAATAAAGCAGAGATAAGGTTGAAAAGAGAATTTGGTTATCTAGCTACTTAAATAACACCATTTTTAATATTTTGTAATATTTTAATCTATAGCATAAAAAACTGCCATTTTCAAGACAGCCAGGGCTACACAGAGAAACCCTGTCTTGAAAAACCAAGAAAGAAAAAAACAATTTCGTTTTTCTTAAAAGAAGGAGGAAAACTATCATTTTGGAAAGAAATACATCTAGGCAACTGCCTCAATTACCTTCTTTTTCAACGTTTTAAGAATGAATTAGTGGTATGAAAAAGAAAAGAAAGCTATTCTTATTTCTTGATATAGCTTTATTATTCTGGCACTCTAAGAGTTTAACAATAGATGTCTTTAAGTCTTAATATATATCGCACAAGTTAAATACTCTATTTACAAAATATAAAACTTTTAAAGCAAAATACTGTACAAAATACTGTCTTTACGTATTTGAGGGGCTTTATATTTTTACTCCCATTGTTCATCTCTTTTTAAGAATTTCACCTCCCAGTATATCACAGCCGAATTTTTATTGCTAGAAACTGGTCTACAATAAAAGGATAAATCCAAAGACTAAAAGTGAGATAAACTTTACAGATTTTTTTTCACTTCCTAGACAAATCCTCTTGGTTAAAGGCACTTAAAAATCCAATTCATGCTTCACTTCTTACATTTTGGTTCTTTTTGTTGCTTAGCGTCTGTAAAAATACTTTAAAAGGGATATTGTATCTCTTAGTGAGGATTCTTTCCAATGGCTTTTCTTTTGCAGTCTGTGAAAGCATAAAGCAAGCACCTGTCCCTTAGGTAATTTTCAGCCTGTTCTGTCTATACACAAACACTTGGTATAATTAATTCTATTAAAATACCGAGGAAAAATGCAAATTATGTGTACTGCTCCTTGCTCCTATAAGAGATGGCTTTTAAAAAAATGATCACTGTGTCCACACCAGGACTAATTTCTGTATCTGTATCCTGGTTTTGGCTCTTAATCCTGAGCCTGGACCAGGTCTCTGGGATAAAGGCTTTTTTTCTTCCTTTTTCCTTTTCCCTCCTTCTCCCCTTCCTTCCTTTCTTCCTTCCTTCCTTCCTTCCTTCCTTCCTTCCTTCCTTCCTTCCTTCCTTCCTTCCTTCCTTCCTTCCTTCCAGGATAGATAGATGTTCCCTATATGTCAAGGTCTATACCCCAAACCATCCAAAGGTAACTGCCTCGCTTTTCAACTTTAGAATCCCAAGCAATCTTCACAAACATCTTGCGATTTGATGTCTATCAGAAGGAAGAAATTGCAGATTGGATCTGCAGCTGGATTGCAGGCAGTGACTTCTGCAGTCATGCATGGTAAGGGGAGCCCTCCAGATTGCATCCTTGGCTGCTCCTGAGGAGTCTCACGCTAGGCTGGATGGAGACGTTACTTACAAGTGTGGACATCCGTCATGCTTTCACACCTCCTGCAGCGGACATAGCAGCACCAGATAAACTTACACTCACACCTCTCCACGTGCCTGACCACGTGGGTGTTGTAGCCTCGGCCACAGCAGAGGAGGTTGCAGCCGTCAGCACCTCCTGATGTACGGTTGCACTCTCTGCCCTGTGTCCCAGGAATACCCAGTTTCTTGTTCTCCACACAGTAGTTGGGAGACTTATGAACGTACAGCAGATCATCCTTGTGAATGGGTGTCTGTCTCTGATCTTTTTCTCTCCTGCGCATTTTCTTCTTGGTTTTGTCTGAAATCTGGATGCTGTTTTCATATTTATCCTTTAAAAAATGCCCAATCTTTTCAAAAGAGGACATAGTTTTCCAGCAGGTTTTCACAGCACAGGAACCGGAAACTCCATGGCAGCGGCAGTCCACAGACATTAACTTAGCGACAGCCTAAAACCAACAATGATTGTGTTCAAATGTCATTTGTGCAGTTTTTCATTCAACAGCAGAAGCAGTTAACCCAGCCACTCAAGTTTCTCGCTCTTTCCCCCATAGAAATGATGGTTTGAACATAAACCCTCTTTAAGGATGTTTAGAGTTCAAATATTTTGTCATTTATTTCTGTCTAAATGTTTTGAGTCTATGTAGAAAGCCTTTCCCATGCCACATTAAAACCAGTAGGGGTGGGTCAGTGAGGTGTCCACAGAGTGCTGCCAAGCTGGAAGCCCTGAGTTGGAACCCTGGGAAACCACATGTTAGAAGGAGAGGACCAGTTCCTGCAAGGTGTCTTCTGACGTCCACACATGTGCCGTGGCATGTGCTTAACTCCCTATACTAAATATATAATTACATAAGAACTGTAAAATAAATAACTGTAAGGGCAGCCACTTTGGCTACTTACCAAAGATGATCTGAAATTTCATAGGGAAAGTACTCTTATTGGGGTGAGGAGGGATGTTGGTGCCTGCCTGCATGTTTCTAATGCCATTCAAGGTCTTGCTATTTAAAGTATGGTTCATGGACCACCAGCTCCAGCATCCCTTGTAAGAAATGTAGACAAGCCTGGTCTTAAGTCAGGCATACAGAGTGAAAAGCTATGGTTTCAACCAGAGCCTTAGGTGATTATCATGCAAAGCACTGGCAGGGTAATTGCCATCAACTTTCTGTTAGGAATTCAGCTTATGCTAGAGAGGATGTGGAGAAAGGAGAACACTCCTCCATTGCTGGTGGGAGTACCAACTTGTACAGTCACTGTGGAAATCAGTGTGGTGATTCCTCAGAAAATTAGGCATCAACCTACCTTAAGACCCTGCAATACCACTGTTGGGCATATATACCCAAAGGAAGCCCATTCACACCACAAGGGCAATTGCTCAGCTGTGTTCATAGCAACATCAACTTTCATGGTACACACAGAAACACCAGTAGAACTTTCCAAGTAACAGTTCTCAAACTCCCGGTATCTGATTAGCTGGAGTGAGCTGCTTACATGATATGGTGGTACCTTGTGGTGACAACACCTGTTGGTTGATTCTAGTGAGCTTTCCTAGGTTTGGTCACTGTAGTGTCAATTATGTCATGGGATAAAAGGGGAGTGAGAACATGCTATGCCCTGGCCAGAGACCACACAAGAAACCCTGTCTCAAGTTAAATTGGCTAAGGGAGAAGGAGCAGCAGTGTGACGGCTGCTGACAAGTTCTGCCGCTTTTCTGGCAAATGAATTGAAAACGTAGCTTCTTTCCTTGATGGGTAAATAGCATTATCTTAACACAAAGAATAAAAAGAGAGGAAAGTGCCTGTAATCGCAACTCTAGGTAGGTTGAGGCAGGGAGGCTATGAACTTGGGACTAGCCTGGGCAACATGGTGAGCCCAGGCCAGCCTAGTCTGCAGAGTGGGACCTTGTTTGAAGAAAAGTAAAGACGACCATGTTTATGCTATTTTAGATTCATTTCTAAGTGCTGAGTTGAGTTTATTCAGCCTGGAGCACTAACTGAGCTTACACGCACTTGTAGTGGCCCATTGTTTGAGGCGAGGTAAGGTCTAAAGGTTCCTGTCTTTGGTAAAGTTAGAATAGAAGTTCAGATGAAGTTTTCAATGTGCCTAAAATAACAACCTAGAGAGTTCTAAAGTTTGAGGGCTCTAACCTCTTATGTATCAACATTGCTTCCTGAAGTCCCCAGACGATGGCGGAACAGATTAATAAATCGTCAGGACTAGTTGACATTCTGTCAACATGCTGGGCAAGTGAAAAATGAATCCACCCATTCAACAACTTGAAAATTATGCATCTAATCTCATGAAAGAAGTTTAAGTTCCACTTACAGTTCTTATCAAAACTCCAAAATAACCAAGGCTTTATTACTATTGATATGTCTGCAGACAGCGTTTTCTAACATGCTCCAGTCTAACCACACGGAATATTTCAAACAAGTAATATTGTATTGCAGCCTTAAATGAGAACATGTGATACTGATTTGTACAATTTTAATACTTCTTAGTAACATTTAAAACAATTAATAGAATAGTATTAAATTCCAACCTTTCTAGAACATAGAACATAAACATTTTTTATTCAGAAAACTTCAAAACTAATAAATGTATCTATTTCTTAATAACACAAAGCAAAAACACCCTTTGGTGATGCAAGAACAACTTACTATATAAAGTAGGTCACACAGATAATCTGATTTGTGGCATTTGTTATTCACAAAATCCTTGTTCCTTGAAGAGGTCTACATGCAGACAAATATTTAAAATGAATGCAATCTGGCACCTTTGTTCGTATTTTAAGTGGCAAAGGATGTGAAGAAAAAAAGAGCTCAATCAGTGTAGGTAATAAAATAAATTGTCCGAGAAGCCCCAGACCTGAGAGTAAGTGTATGTTTAAACCAGATCAGCGTTCCTGATAGTCATCACTCAGTGATTTAAAGCTGCCTTCCCTCCACATTATGATGGAGAGCTCAGCTTCCTTCTTTTAACCGGTTCAGACATGGGCACTGTTGGTTTGCAAAGCATGAGAAGCAGAGCAGATGCGCTTCGAATAACTATGCACTCACTCACACAAGCAGTTTTAATGCCTCCTCCGTGGCTAACCTGACTAGGAAAAGTAACGAAAATCACACCCATGAAGGAAAGTCATGGATGGAGGGTCCATGGTCTGGAAGACCCTGAGCTAGCAGGACTCTCCTCCAGCTTCATCATAACTTTCTCCCAAACAGCATGGGTCCACCAAATGCTGTACAATTTGAAAGAATAAAAGAGGCTTGTAAATTCAATTTTGTTACCCACTAAGCTTATATTAGGATTTTGAAGGATTTTCCTACACTAGAAAACAACTCTTTTTTAATACTGGAGTTGATAATTTTCCACTTTTATGTTTTTAAAGTGTTAGTTCTATGTCTTTCGATCAAAAGGGGCCAGAATACAAATAGAATAAAATGCTATTCTTTTCATTATTATTCTTCCTACCCCAGAGCTTACATACATGAAAGAGCTTCAAGTAGAAGAACCCCAAAAAATTCATATACAATTTGAATGACGATGTCCTCATAATACCTCAAGGATAGAACTCATAACTAAAGTAGAGCAACATAGTCACTGCTTGGGGAGTTTTATGAGTTGCGGAGTTTCAGGGTAGACACATATACACCGAGTTTAACTTTGCCAACGATAGTGTTTCTTGGAACACATTTTCATAAATCGTGTACTTTGATCTGGTTATATAGCAAGAAATTCTTTTCACTTAATATGCAGTTAATGAACAGGTACTTAGTTGTGATTCCAATTTCATAGAAAAATAAACAGTGTGGTTAAGACACTTGTCTTACATAAGTTGGTGATATATGATATAAAGTCTTTATAACTTAGCAAGATAAAGTTAGAAAAACAAAAAACGAAAGTGGAAAATATAACATATTTAAAAATATTCCAGGAACTCTCCAAAACATGTGTTCTGTATCTTTCCTGCTGGAGTTCTTAATTAATGTTAAACATCTAGTGTGAGCCGCATTGGTGGCTCTGATACTTTCTGGTGACTGGAAAAGAGAATATCAACTGAATGAATTGTGTGTGGTTATGGGAAAAATCCTCTCTCCTCTAGCTGAGTTGTTAAGGTTTATAACGACGTTAGCAGAGGAATGTTTTGTTAACTATTGCAAACAGATGTGCGCATTTTGGTGGAATAGTATAAAACTACAGGAGAGCAATTAGGAAGGTGGCATTTAATCTACAGGGTTCTTCATGGAAGTTTCAGGTTGATAGGTTTCTAATGAAGTAAGATGGGAAGGATGTATCACTGGAACTCAATGCAAAATGAGACACCGCATAAGAAATGATTTAAGGACTAATTGTCTCACAATTTTGAGTCAAAGATAATGCTGTGGGCAGAGATTGTTTTCTACATATTGCTTTGCCCAAAGTTTACTAGGAATGTCCAGAAACTGGTGTGGAACATTCTGTAACTGACATTTTCATTGTGTCAGCCAATGGAGGATCTGTTTAACTTAAGAACTCTGTGAGTTAACATTGGATGGGTGTGTATGTAGGATTGCTATTCCTATTCCTCTGTCCCACTTCATCCCGTTCTATCCCAAAATACATTTGAACCTGCGGAAAAGCAAAACACAGTTGTGTTGTTCAACTACTTATAAATATTCTTGAAACAGGTCAATGAAAATTTGGGGTCTGCCCTTCCCACTTTGTTGAGTTACTCATAATAAAACAAATTGTGGGGTAGGAAAACTTAAAAGTTTATGAGGTAGGCATGGTAAGAATGGAAATATTTCAAGCACACCAAAAGAAATACCCATAAATATTCCAAGTCACATTATTCCCAGAAGTTCTGCCCCTGGAAGACATCACATCATTCTCGCAGCCAATCACCACCCAGCAACATTATTCTTGGAGTCATAACTTTAGGAATGGTGTCAGAAACCAAGTGGGAATCAGAGTATTTAAGGTCAGCGGTTAGAAAATCATCTATCCTGCTCACAGTGCTACTAAGCGCCAGTACCCACATTTCTCTGAACGCTTTCCTACATTTTGAGTTTGGGATTTTGAGGCTAGAAAAACCAACTCAATTGAATGCAGACCTTAAACTTTATTCAGACAAATATGCCTGACAGAACAAGATCATAATGACCAATATTAAAATTGAGTCAGCTTCTTGTCCATGTTAGAGAAACCTCCTTTTTGTTTATGTAGTCTTTTTTTTTAAAGCTAGCAGTGAAAAGTAACACACAAAAATATTTTGAATTAGAATACCTCCCAAGAAAAGACCAATGAAACTCACCCATGCATTACCCTAAGGATAACCAGGGAAATGTTGTGTAATATTTTAGGGTTACATCTAGAGCAATCTGAGGCAAAAGAAAGGAAACTAAAATTTGCATAAAATGTGTACTTCTATACGGGCTGAACTGTTATTTGCAGACACAGAAAAATAGCAAAAATCTACATAATATGGGGAAGTTGAGTTTTTTTACCCTGGCCAATAGTGTATTATATTAAAATTGCTGTAGATAAAAACCAAAATCAAATTGTTAATAACTGTTTAATACTAATATTAACGATGATAGAGCCAAATATACCTGCCTAGTTTGAAAACACATAAGATGAAATAAAACTGAATGCCATTAATAAAACTAATTTTCTTTAATACAATTGTTTTAGGTTTTCATAAGCTCAGACACAACTACATTTATTTAAGAGTTAATCCTAAGATAAATTTCTGAGTTTCATCTTTTGGTTAAATTTTTAAATCACTATCAAATCATTTAGAGAATGATGACTAATGAATATTTATGTAATTGTTTTCTCAGTTTTTAAATAAATATAGGGATTTGGTGTACTCTGATGTTTTTCTTGAGTTTAATGCTAAAGCTTAAGAGAACAATGCTAATTGCATTTCCTTCTTTCATATTAAAATGTTAGAAATAATAGATATCTCTTTATTTAAAATCAATCAACACTTCACTCTAATTTCACAATGGAAAATCCCAAGGAAAAAAAGTTATACACCTAAGTGTGGTGCAGAGTAAAAGCAATGTTAGTGAAATCAAATAACTTTTCTGAAGCTCCTAAGTAAAAATATGGGAAACTCGCATAACTTATTTATGGATTTTCTTGTTTTCTATTTTGACTTTTCAAATTGCATATTCAAATTAAATGGGACTGTAAATGCAAACTTGATATTTTACTGAGTCTTCTGGCTTTTTGTATTTTAAATGAGGGCAGTTAAATAAAGACAACTGGCTAGAACTTCCAAACATTGTGAATGACCTCCATTATTCACTTGCCAAAAATGTAAAAAACAAATGCAACGTATACTTTAAGTATTCCTAAGAGATGCTGCAAATTGTCTGAATTTACTTCAGGAGGATGTGGCAGATTGTGGTAACAACACTGGGACCTTTATAGGTTATTGGAAATTCAAAATTATATCTGTCTCAAAAAATTTATTATGACAGAAAATATGTATTCATAAAAATGTTACAGCCTTTTGGGCAAGTTACAGTGAACTACCAAACAATTCAACAGTGTTTTAGAATCCAAATTTTATTGTATCAATAGTCAGTAATGTAAATATATAAAACCTAAGTAGGGTACACACATATTCCTTTTTAAAAACATCTTTTAAAACCAGAATTCATAAAGGGGTTCACTAGGGGCTGGGTCCTTGCATTCACCTCCTCTCGAGCTATCTTTAACATAGCTACATTTTACAATATTGTTACCATTAATATAGCCATAGCTTTATGTCCATATTCTTTTATAGTCTTAATTGAACCTAAATTACTTGATAAAATAAACATTTTCCATGAAAACTTTTGCTTTACAAAAAAATTAAATAAATAAAGAAAGCTTACCAATGTAGTCAATACACACTCAGGAAAGGATATATGACTATTTATTTCTTCTACTGCCAGTGTTTGGTTTTAAAATCGTTGGCATAGATTCACCCAGAAGCATTAGCCCTAAGTACTAGTTACCCAATGATGCTGGGGTCTTATTTATTTTTCGAACACATACCTGCCTTCCCGCTTCGTTGTTGTGTAGATTCATGGTTAGCAGTACTTTGCTTTCTTTTGCTGTGATGTTTCTGATGGGGATATCTAGAAACTTCCTGCTGAACCACATGCCATACTGGACATCATCAGAGCATCCCCCCCAATGCCAGCCTTCACTTGGTGAGCCACCATTTTGCAAGGTGGTGTCGCAGGAACATTCGGTCATGTTTCCTGCACTGCACGACCTGGTTACAGAGTGCACCAGGCCTGCAGCCATGATGGCGTAAATGAACGCTGTCTCCTTGGTGCCTAGGGAGAAAACATTGATAAATTACAGAGCCGTCATTTTCTGTTGAAATTCAGTCCTAAAGCTCTTACTCATCAGCTTATGAGGCAATCAGTTTTTCAAGTGTTCACAACACATGCTGTGAATATTGGAAAGAAAATCTACTATTTTAGAATAAAAAATTATTTTTCAGGATACCACATCATGGGATGTCTCGTACCATATTGTCACCCACTCTCCTCATATATTAAAATTCATGCTTGTTTTTAAAAATTGTAACCCTCACTAGTAACTATCTTAGTGTTTCATGGACAGTAGTAGCTCATTAGTACATGTTGAATGTAAATCCTTTGCATGGACAATGTAAATGGCAGCTGAAAAGGAAACTGATTTCTTATCTTTTTTTTTCAAAGTATGCTGCATTCACAAAACACAAACGGAAAATTCTGGTGCGATTTTTCTTTGACAATACAGGTCAGAATGCAAACTAAAATTAACAAAAATCAGAACAATTGCTAGATAAATATTCGTTTTCTTTCACATTAAAGATAAGATTTTTAAAAGGGAGAATACAATGAATATCACTGCTACTAAGTAGCTAACATGTTGTGAAATACCTTATACCCATAAAAGTAACAAAAGATAATTGAAAGCTTGCAAAAAGATTTGCTGTGGAAGATTATCCTGTTTTGAAACGGTTGCATTTTGCACTCGGTCAGTAGACCTGGAGTTAAAATCTTTGAAATCAAAGTTCCATTAAGACATTCATAAAGTAGACTAGCAGTCGAATTTTTTTTCTTTCCAGATGTTTAGACTGGAATAGAAACAGTTTTACTCATGCCGGTTGTCCAATAAGCCTCTTCACCAGCGAATGCTTCTACATCTCAGCAACTGTTTAGGACACATCATTTTTCTCCTTTTTACTTCTTTCTCCTCCAGCCTCTTACCCTTCACCCCCAACCCCCAGGCCAGGGATCCATCCGCAGCCCTTGTCAACCAAAACTCAGAGCTGGGAAGGCTCAGCTCTGGGGAGGCACAAGCAGAAGCAGAGTGGAGAGGGGGTCAAAGGTGCAGTGCGAACGAAACGAACTTTAAAAACGACAGCGAATGCATCTTTCAATGCCTCGGGCCTAAAACTCTCTGACTCTGCTAATATCCCGGGAAGCATCCTGGCTCTGAGTACGGTTATCCTTGCTAAGTCACCAAGCACGTGGAAGAACTTTTTTTTCGCGGAACTTTCCCGTATCGGGAAAAATGCGCTCAGTCGGGGAGAGGTGGAAGGAACAGAAACCAGGGGGATTCAAAAGAAGTCGCCCTCAGGTGACAGTCCCTTTAAAAATCACCATTGTGCACTAAACCTGGCGTTCCCAGGAGTCAATAAAACCTGCGGCCGTCCTTCAATTAGCCACTTGTCTGCAGCTCAGTGCGCCACAGAGCTGCTTAAATCAAAGCAGATGCGGCAGCAGCATTCCCGGCTGCAGACCTCATGTTTGTCCAGCTGGTTACCTACGGAGCAGGGCGCCACGGGGTCCGAGGGGTCGCCGGGGTGGGGACTCATAGTTTTTCTGCAGCTTTAGCAGGGGCCACGTAAAGGACGGAGAACTGCAGCCCCTCTAAGTGTCCCTCTGCAGATCTGGGGTGTCCCTCTGTAGGGCTGCACCTGCACTCTGGGGTCTGGCCCCTGTCGCCCCAGTTTCCCTGTTTGAAGATCTCACGAGCACCGGACCGTACAGTCACATACTATTTTATCGAAGGCACTGGCAGAAAAGCTGTCTATGCCCTACTAACCCCAAGGGTCCTGGTGACTCACCACTACTCAGCTCATAGCCAAAGAGTGGACTGGTGTCGAGCGGGGCGGAGGTGGCGGTGGCGACCATACAGTTCCATCTCTCATGTCGGAACTGGCTCTTGCACTCCTGAATGCCCAGCCGGGCGCCCTCGCTGATGCTAGGCAGCAGGTACGGTTTCCTCTTGCACAGCTCCTTCTGGCGGCTGTTCAGAGGCAAGCCATCGCAGCCCAGCTTCTCCGGTACCCCGAAGGAGGCAATGCCCAGCCACCTGTAAGATACGGCGTCCCTGCTGTAAGCCGGCCTCCTGCCCTCCTCCCCTACCCCAAATGCAATAGGTCAGCGGTCCCAGGGCCCCGCTCCTCCTCCCCTGGCCTCAGTTGAAAGTTCTCTGGCACGGACCATCCCCTTTGGTCACCTACCCTTCATGCCTCGGCAGCGCCCATACTCACATCCAGTTGCCCTGGGTTCCGCAGGGGAACAGCGAGAGCACGGCTGCCCACAGCGCACACAAGCTGGGCAGGGCCAGGAGCGCCGCTCTGTCCATGGCCCACGCATGGAGTCCCCCAGCCCCGGCCACTCCTCTCCTGTCCCCTCTCTCCAGAGACCCGTAGGTCTGAGGTCAGTTCCCTAGCACCCAGTTGTTCTTTGCTCTCTTTCTCCTGGAAGGTAACATTAAAAAGGGCAGCAGGGACAGAAACTATCAGCCATCCCCCAGACCCCTGGAGGATGGGGTGGAGAAAGTAGTCTAAGGTCCTGGCTCTCAGACTATGTGGATACTTGCTGAAGATGCGGGAGCGTCCCTCACATTCCAAGGTGAGAAACTTCTGCTGATGTCTCTGCGTCTCCATCGCCCCAGGCTTCTCCTCGCATCTCCTCCCCCCCAACCCCGCCTGGCGCCTGATTGGCCCAACAGCAGAACCGTATCTCACCATCTGGAAACTTCAGTCTCTCATTGGCTAACAGTGGGCTCTGCGGGGGGCGCTCTTGGGCTGAGCCTCCGTGACTGCCCGACTAGACCTGGGAGTGTCAAGACCTTTCCTCCTGTCACATTGTCCTTAGAGGAGGTCACTGTGAGACTGAATCAATCTGAGGAGCAAAGAAGTGATGGGCATTTCTGCCTCAGCATCCTTGGGAGAAAATGTAGCTGCTTTATCCAACCACATCTGGATTTACCCTCTGAGTAAAAAGGATAAAGGCACGCACGGGGCTTGGAGTGAGCTTTCTTCCCTGTACTTTTCTCTGGAGAGTTATCTTTTAAAAGTCAACTTGGTACAAAAAAAAAAAGTGCTGATCTTTCGACTCCCATCTTGAGGTCCCCTTGACGACAGAGAGGATAGGTGAAAAGCTCTGGGGTGTTATGTTCCTGGTCATTTAGATATGCATTTGTTTTCAACATGCCATCAAGTATACCGTATTTTAGCTGGGTTCTGCGATGCCTTTTCCCGTTTGTCTTATTTCTGTGACTTTTGAGAGCATGGTCTAGCCTAAGAAAAAATGGCAGGCAGACAGATGAGTGAGTGGACAATAGAGGGTTGTTTCTGTCCTTTTCTTTTGACCCGCACTGACACCCCAGGAAGACCTTACAGAGGGCTACTGCCCGGTTGAAAACAAGAGCAAGGACAGCAAAAACAGAAATACTGCATGCCATACCAACTGCATGCCCAGCCCTATGCAAGTTTGTAGAAATAAGACCCCTTTCTGTAAATGTAAAAAAAAAAAAAAAAGCCAGGCAGACACATCCAAGGCCAAATAAATTCTGGTTATCAGTAATGGAGATTATAGGCAAATGTTATTGGCAGCTTATGCTTTGGCCAAACTTGGTGCTGTAAAAGCAGGAAGAGTTCTGGCAGCTGGTAGTTTTGGAAAGTTATTTAGCCAGAGTTTTGTCTCCAAGATCTCTTTGAAGCCTGGAATACGTTTTGCTGTGGCATCAAAGAGCTCTGCCTCATCTACTTCCACACACAGTGTTTCTTAAAACTATCACCTGCTCCCAGGAGGGTGTCTGGAATGTTAGTAAACTCTCCAGGTGGCCGCACCTCAGCCTTATCACAGAGAGCTTAGACAGCATTTGATGATTCTCAGTGTCACCTACAGTTAATCAAAGCTCACTCAATCACCCATCATTCCTTATCCAGGCAGCATTTATTGCATGTACACTACGTACCAGGTCCTAAAACCACACTGTAATTTTTAGAAAGTCAAGTTGATGATAGGGTATGGTTACTGATCCAGAAATATTTTGGCTAATGGTTAGTGGCTTCTCTGAAAACCGGAGCCTTTATCCCTTATCCTGTGAGCCTCTCCAAGAAAGGACCACGGTCCATCCTCTGCTGTACCCCTGTCCCAGAGCACCGGATCTTCTTTCGAAGCACAACTTATTGAGTGGATTAATGTGATGAGGAACATCCCAAACGGATGCCTAAGCGGCCTAAATGCTGAAAATAGAGACTTTTCTTCCTTGTAAGGGAAACCGGAGAGGTAGCAATCTTGGGTTTGAGAGGAGGGCGTGAGAACATCAATCCTTTAAGCTAATTTTTTAAAAAAAGAGATTGTTTATTTTTTTATTCAGAAATTTATATGGAGACTATTTGGGGTTCAAATGTGAGACTAGCCCTGAGTCAGTCATATGGTTGTAGAGCTCATAAATTACTTGACAAAGCAGACAAGTAAATCAACCATTGCAGTCCAGTGCAGAAAGTGTGGGAAGTATAATGTGTTGTGAAAATACATAGAATACAATCCTGAGTTGTGGGCTAGAGGGACGAGTCTGCTGAAGGCTGCCTTCATTTTTCCTCTAGGGATCCAGCTCTCTGTACAGGAACTCTGTCAAAGCTTTGGGGTAATACCAGAGTACACCATTCTGCGAGTCAGTCCACTAGCTCAAACATTTTGAGGTTCTAGACTCAATTTGATAGTGCCTCTTTCATGTGGTCTAGGGCCTGGGGAGGGGTGTGATTCTGTGTGTACTTTTCTAAGAAAGTAGACATTCCCATTAGTTCACCCAGCCAAAGGAGTCGGCTTGACCCTCAGGCATTGTGAACATCCACATACTGAGAGCCTGCTGTATGCCCTGGGACTCTCTTTTAATCTCTGTCTCTTTCTTCTTTTCCTCTTCATTACCGACCACACCCACGCCTGCATAGATAGACCTTGGGCTTTCAGAGGATGACAACGTCCAGGGATCAGTTCTCTCACTCCACCATGCTGGCCAAGGGGATTAAACTCAGGACAACACACTTGGCCACAAGCGCCTTCACTCACACGCCATCCCACAGGCTCCATCTCTGTCTATTTCTCTTTCTTTCTTCCTCTTTGAACCCTTACAAAATTCTACCCTCTGTACACATGCTAATTTTACAGATGGGGTAATAAGTTTGGGAAGATTGGGAGGTTTGCAGGAGATCCCTCTGTTCGTAGCAAGGACAAAGACCAATTTTAGTTTAGACATTCCTTTCCACCTACTGCTGTAGACCGTAATTCAAAGCTACCATCTGCTTTTTTTTCAGACCAAATCTCAGGTTGGTGAGTATTAGGGCCTATGTTTCCCATTGTGTCCCTGGGTTCTGTGCACAAAGCACACCGCTATTGTTTGTTGGCGTAAACAAAGTGTGGCATGGGGAGGCCTCCCAAGGAGCTCTCTGGGGAGGGAGTGTCTCTGAGGCGGGTGGCACTTTGCTAGATCAGGCTTCTGTTTCCCTGTCTTGTCTGAACTGGGCATGGGTGGGGCACTGGGGAGACCAGTGGAAGGAACAGTAGCCTGGGTTGGCCAGTTGGCACTGTCGGCAGGTTTGTAAAATGATCGGAAGCAATGTATTGGTCAGATCTGAGCATCTTACCGGAGTTCTCCTACCAAGAGAAGCAAAGTGGCCGGTTCAGCAGGCATGCCTCCCTCAGATATGGTGGGGACAAGGGCATCTTACAGCTTTACCATTGGGTTTGCTTCTGAATTTCAATAAGGTGCATTACTTAGATCAAGAAATCTTTTTAAATGTTCAAATTGCAGTTTGTCAAAATCTAGTCAGTTCAAATGAAATTTCACTGACAGAATAAAAGATATTATACGAACGTTATCCTGAAAGATGAAATTGAGGAACTCATGATATAGTTTATTTCTATTAAAATAAGGTGACGTATCTCTACTCTTGCTATGTTGAATTTCTCTATTAAGACTGGAGGAATAACAAGAAAATAGAGACTAAATGTAATGATACATACATTTACAGATTTTAAAATGCTTTATTTCTCTAGAAGAATGTTTTTATTTAATTCTTTTAATTCTGTAGTATGGAGTGAAGATAAAAATCTTACCCACCAATGGGCCCAATACTCATTGCATTATGAGACTCTCTCAGGTGCAGGTGAAGCTTCTATAGGTATTCTTCGACTGAAGAGGGCATGCCTGAGGTCAAATTGAGGTTCTTACAAATGCTAGGCAATCATTCTGCCGTGGAACTATGTCAGAAGTCCCAAATATTTTAAAAATTATGCCATTACTTGTTTGAGAAATGAGAACTAATATTGTTGTCTCATAACACAAGCTTATCACTCCAAATTTGGTCAGTGCTATTATTGTGATTCCAAGTTTTCATAGGTGACTGAAGTGCCTGTAATTTCTTGATTTCATAAGAAGGACATGGCCTTGACATGTTTCTTAGCAGGGTAGTGGGTTTTTTGAGCTGCCCCTCTGAGAAGAAGGTTTAGGAGGGGAAAACCAGATTTTAAATGTTTTCATTCAATGTATTGATACTGGTTAGCACTTCCCTTGTCTCTCTTCCCTCCCCCCATCTGTGTGGTCATCTCTGTCTAGTTTAGCAATGGAACCAGGTAACCATAAAGTTGCCAATCAATCCCACCGTCCACCTGAGACAGTTGTAGATTACTAGATGTAGAATACAGTGGGGCCTGTTCCTTCTGGAAGTTTTCTCCCAGTCCCTGGGAACTCAGTAAAAAGTCTGCCTGCATAGATATGCCTTGGACTCTGCCTCTGGCAGCCCATCAGAGAACGAGACTTCTAAGGGCCCTGTTGTAAGAATTTCTGCTGCAGATCACAGAGACTTAGGCACTGGAAACTGATACCAAGAGCAACCCAGCTGGTCTTAACTCCCACGACAGAACAGGAGGCCAGAGGTGACTTTTTACATAACTGGGTCTCCATTCATTCTATTTTAAAATTCACCTGGATTCTGCAAGTGTGGAGCAGGGCACACACTGACTCTTGGGTGTGGGTGGAGAACTATGCTCTGGATGCCCTGCTGTCCTCTGGTGTAGGAAGAACAGACCCAGGAAAAGAAGAGACATCAGTGGTCACCTTGGGAGAAACAGCAGGGTCCAGAAAAGGATGGGATCTTTCTCTTTAAGTCTCCACAACTACAAAAGTTAGCTGTTTATTCACCGGTCTTGTAGTTCAAGGTGAAAGAAGGTTTACGTGCTGTTAATGGAAAGTGGCTCATCTCTTGATTGACAATACTACATTTTTTTGTGTATGTGTAGGTGTGAATGTATGTATTTAAATGTGGCAAATGGTATGCGCATGTGTGGATAGGCACATGTACCTATGCATATGAGGGAGGAAGCCAGAGGACAACACCACTTGGAGCTGGGCTGGCAGCACTCCCTGGATCATCCTGCCCCTAGCTCCCACAGTGCAAGGATTACAAGCCCATGCAACAGTGCCTGGCTTTGACCTTGCTACTAGAACCTGAACTCAGTTCCTCATGGCTTGTGAGCAGCAAGCACTCTTACCCAGGGAGCCATCTCTCCAGCCTTCGAATTAAAATTTTATAAAGGACATCTTGAAATCTGCCCCAAATGCGGCTCCTTTCTTG